TCGCACAGAAGTGACATCAGATATTTGATTACTTCAAAAGAATGATAAAGATGCCTACAACGCAGGTGTCCCTACTGTTACAAACTTAAAATTTCACGTCCATAATTTTCAGATTTCAAAATAATGTAATATCTTCTCAATATTGTTTCGTCATTTCTTCTGTCACAGAGAAAAATAGTGCATTATACACGAAAGAAATATTAGATTTTAACTCACGGTTTTTTGTCTCCCTCCAACAACACAACCTGGAGCTAGAATCTACTACTTTTTTCCCTTGTATAATAAATAACTATTTTGATATGTCTTTATATAAAATTTTCATAAAAACCCATTTTTTGAATTGGCCAATGCAATTATGCCCTCTAGCGGCTGTCCTGGACACTTGAAAATAATTTATAAGTAACTGAAAACAAAATGTATTATTTCGTTACGATGACAGTGACGACTTCAATTGTACAGTGTGTCCCAAATTCGATCCTCACCATTGGGATCTCAGTAACTATGAGAGATAGAGAAACGGTTAAATTAGCAAAGTTGTAGCAAATTTAATGTTGAATCATAATCTATCGAGAAATCCGGGCTAGCTTCAGTCATTCTTGAGTTATTTGAGAAAAACTGAAATCTTGTATTTTTGTTGTGTTCTGGCACAACTTTCATAGAGTAGGCTTGGAGCAAAGGTGAGCCAAGTGACATTTCTGTAAACGTCAAGAAAAAATACAAGTCAATTATTTCGGGGCAAACAATGCCGTTCACGAATCTCGAAAAATTTGATATGTACAATTGTTATATCAGAAATAATCGAAATAACAGAGAAACAGCTAGACAATACTTCCATTTATATCCAGAAAGACAACAACCGCATCATTCTATTTTTCTAACATTACAAAGAAATTTGCAAGAGCATGGAAGTTTCATTGCACCTAGACCAAGGTATGGTTTGCGCTTGGATGAACAAGATATTGCAAATATCGAAGGAATCATCAATCAAACTCCTACCATTTCAATTCGAGAGCTTAGTCGGAGAACTCTTGTGCCGAAAACAACAATCCACAGACATTTAGTGAATGATAAGTACCACCCTTTCAAACCAGTGATAGTACAAGGGTTAAGACCTGGTGATAATGAACGTCGTCTCGAGTTTTGTCACTGGTTCCATAACCAGTGTGAAAGAATCGAGAACTTTCCATTGAATATCTGCTGGACCGATGAAACGAGATTTCATAATAATGGAATTTACAATAAACAAAATCATCATTACTGGGCACAAAATAATCCGCATGTCATCAGAGAATCAAAGTGGCAGAACAAATTTGGTTTCAATGTTTGGTGTGGGATATTTGGTACCTAACTAGAATTTTGGTCCATGAATAACTGTTTCTCATTGTGTATTTTTTTCAGGCAGTAGACTACTAGGTCCAATAATCTACGATTATAACTTGAATGGTCCACGTTATTTAGAGCTATTGAGAAATGAAATTTCGAATTTTATAGACGAGATACCACTTGCTGAATATGAGTTAATGTGGTTTCAGCAAGATGGTGCCCCACCGCACAATACGCGATTGGTTAGGGCAATGACGGCTAAATGGACTGTCTGACGGGTACTACATGACTGTCCAATCACTCAGTTCAGTGTATTCTCCACCAGAGGGGTTTACTTGCCGTCCTTTCCGGAGAAGTCATTTGTTTAGCTCTTATTTGGTTGTTTTCCAATAAAATAGGTTATATTGAATTATCATTATTTTATCAAGTGTCAAAACTGTGTCACTGTCAGGTCCCTGATGTGTTCTGTTGAATATCGATAAATTTCTTTACTTTTTCGGATTTTCATTCAATCAAGCATTCTTCTTTGTGTTTCGTTCTGGTAGTTTATTCATTCAGGTTTGCTAGTTGTGTCTTCATCATGTATTTACAGCCTTTTAGCGTATGAAATGAAATGTAGTGCTCATACCCAGTGATAAACTCCACAGCAAGAATGGTCGAATTTTATTTTGGAAGGCATTGGTAAGAATATGATTTTTCATGTATACTTTTCTGATGATTTTCAATTTCAGTCTCGATTCCACCATTAGAACACTGGTTTTAATTCTGGTGTTGAAGTTTGTGTCAATAATTTCGGAAGACACACACATAGAGTGATGATCAATAGCACTACATATGGCGACTCATCAGGATGGGGACATACATTCAGAAAGGATCGCTTACCATAATTTTCAAGGTATGTTTAGTCTGCATTGTTGTTGCATAGCTAGGTAGGGTAGGAGTAGTATTGTTGAAAACTGTTTCATGTGAGCCTGATGGTCCAAGCCATCAATGCAACGTATTCAAACTTAAATTACCATATACCTACAGGATGGGCATCCCAAAAAGCAACACCAAGAATGAAAGAGGAATGGAATTTAAGGTATGCTCTTTGAATCCCAGAGAATCATCAAACTAGGCCAACATCTGGAGTTTTTTCTGGTGCCACAACTACAATTTGAGGTATTTTGTGTTCCTGCTTCCTGGCAAATATCACAGAATAATGATACTATCAGAGATTTTCAAAAATGTCTTTCACTGCTGTGATGATTTTGTCACAAAAAATTTAAATTAATCATTTGGCCTAAGTTTATATATTATGTAACCCCATCTATCAATGAGATCCTGTATAGCTTTCTTGTTTTCTTGATAGAAGTATGAGATGGTATGTGAAATAAGGTAAAATGTTGTCACTGATACTAGCCCACTAACTATAGCTTCCCCAAGTAGATCTAAAAAGATGAAAAGATTGCAAACTCAACTTTTAAAATGCATATAACTATTTCTTTCTCCACAAAGTTTTGAAAATGGTTGAAAAATATGGATTGATTGATAGATAGATGATATGTATAGAAAGCATTTATTCAATTAATGTAATAATTTTATTCCATAGACAGTCACCATAATAAACAATTTCCTTTTCCATTAAATTAGCTGATGAGCTTATATTTGAACTCAAAACATGCTTCTTCTCTGCTGATTTCTGAACAGATGATAGAAATTGTGGGATACACAATAATATATCATCTTCCTCTTTTATTTCCAGTGTCCAAAGGATCTCCAGGTAACCTAGCTGCATCCTCCAAAGTCAAGATCCCATATCCAAGCCGTTTTATATCCATTGTGTTGCCATCCCCAGAACCTATAAAGAAATGTTGCTATAGAACATTTAATGATTTTGAAGCTGGCATAGTTCTATCAATTTTGCAATACAATTTATCTGTATATCTGATATAAAATATATAAGTATGAAATGATAAATTGATATTTAATTTGCTATTCATGGAGATACTTGATATTGTAGTTAAAATGCCTGATTATTTTTCTGAACCCTCACCTAATTAAACAATTGTTCACAAAGCTCACCTTATATAGTAAATATTCTGGTTATGCATAGATAGCATCATCAGATCTTCTCCAGTCATCATTCAATCAAACCTCATGAAGAGCTGCTTCAACATTGTGTTGAGAAAATTCAGTATCTTCCTGAAAATACAAATTAAGAATTATCACTTGAGATCACAGATTTTGTGAAACAATATGAAATGTTGCAGTACATTTTACTTTGAGAATACAGCAGTATCTGGTTATTAGGGCTACCATGGCTCTTATTAGGCAGTTAAAAATTCAATAAATGAAATAATTGAACATGTCCTTACCTATTCACGAATTGACGAAGATGATTTCCACTTGAATGGCATTATTATTTATGCATATAATACCGTTATTTGGCATGAACACTCCTAACCACTTCATTTTGTTGGGCTTTTCACAGTTTTACTTGGTATCTGGAACAAAGCTCTCCAATCTCGAGTGACAATGAGTGACAGGCTGACAGTGAGAAAATTTGTCAACAAATAATGCAGGTTATGTTGAAAGCTCATTTGACACAGGAAATAGATGACGCCACTTGCCGTCCCTTCAAAATTTCATTACAGGGCGATTTGGCGATTTTCGCTGAATGAACAGTCATGTATAACCCGTCAGACAGTCCATTTAGCCGTCATTGGGTTAGGGAATATCTCGAGAATCAATTTGGTGCTAAATTAATTACTACCCATGGACCTGTGAGATGGCCTCCAAGGTCGCCTGACTGCACGCCTCTCGATTTTTACCTGTGGGGCTACGCCAAAAATAAAATTTATGAAGATCCAATTCAAGATATTGATGATCTACGAGATAGGGTGATGGACACATTCCAGAACATCAACAGAGATCATCTGAGAAAAGCAGCGAATCATGTTCGCTCGCGAATATTAAAATGTATCGAGAACAATGGGGGCCATTTCGAGCAGTTCAATTGATTTTTTCTTCAGTATTTGTATTATTCAACTGTTATTAAATTTTTTTTCTGCTATAATAGTAAACATCCAATTCCATGCGATAAGTTATGCAAGAACATAGAACACAGAATTCATAGCCTACTTGACATAAAAACAAAAATTGGAAATCAGTACCCCAAATAGAACAAAACTGTGAGTGTGATACATCACTAGAAAGGAAATTTGATGCTGATTTCAAATCTGTCAAAATCCAATATGGCGTCCATAAGAAAAATTGAAGTTATAGGTGATATCTCAGGAATTTGACATTTTGACGGAAAACTGACAAAACCATTGAAAAGAGCACTAAAAAGTGCTATGAGAATGTTGAAGTCATTTTTTCATAAAATCCATAGGTTCCGAGATATTCGAGAAAAACAAAAATACAAGATTTCAGTTTTTCTCAAATAACTCAAGAATGACTGAAGCTAGCCCGGATTTCTCGATAGATTATGATTCAACATTAAATTTGCTACAACTTTGCTAATTTAACCGTTTCTCTATCTGTCATAGTTACTGAGATCCCAATGGTGAGGATCGAATTTGGGACACACTGTATGTGGACGTTATTTTTCATACGTTAACGTCTACGTGAAGGTATACGTACAGTGATTACTTCAACTCTCTATTGACCAAACTAGCGACGTGTCGAATTACCGAAGCGACGCCTTCTCGTCGATATCGATGCAGATGCTGTCGTCGCTGAGCGCATCGACAGCGTGTCCCGCTGCGCCGCTGCGCGCGACGTTGTGCGCAGGCCGGACGACGCACCGCGCCCGGAAGCTGCAGCTGCTGCCGATGCTCGTCTTCTCCGCTTGCGATGACGTCACCAGGCTGACGTTGTCGTCGAAGCGCACGCGCTCAGACGAGCAGTCTTCGGTGGTGACGCAGGAGCACGAGTCGCTGCCGGGCGTCTGCGACAAAGAGGGGAACATTATTTATTTATTCAATTTATTTATTTATTTAGAAAGCAAGGTTATCCAACAGAAGAACTACAGGGTTTCCATAAATGATAGTAACATCGTAGTAGCCGTTGAAATATTGTTTTCCATTTGCCTCCTTCCGTTTATGGAGATTCACACATTCGAATTTAATTTCTGACATCAATCATTATACTGCCATAGCTGATAGTCACAAATGTCAGTTTTTTTCGTTAAAATTTTCAAACTATTCTGTTTTCTACTTCGTGATTGTCGTGTTGAAAAAAGGGATGGCTTATTCCTCGGAGCAGAATACATTTATTGTAATGTCTTATTGTCGAAATGGCACATTCATCAATGGTGTATGGAGTTACTCGGTATAGTAGCCTGCAAGGATGAGTACCTGGCGAAATATCCTAATGTACAGATTCAAGAATCTTCTTTGAAAGCCCACATCAGAACAGTGATCAACAGATTCATCCAAACTGGAAACGTTAATAAAAATAAATCAACAGGAAGGCACCAAATATCGGAAGAAGTTGTCGAAAAACTAAGGGCGCGTGTTGAGCAAGATCCCCAAACGTCATTGAAGAGATAATCTTTACAATATGGTGTGCCACTAAGTACATGCCATAAAGTGCTCAAGAAAAGATTGCATATGCACCCTTGCAAGACCAGTGTACTGCAGCAACTTCTGCCAATAGATAACCCACGTCGTCTGGAGTACTGCCAATGGTTCCAAAATAATCTCAACGATGACCAGCTATTGGACCTAACATTGACGATGAGGCTTGGTTTCATTCGTCGGGATACGTGAACTCACAAAATTTCGGGTTTTGGATATCTGAGAATCCCCCCAATTTCATTGACACTCCACTACATTCTTAAAAAATTTGGGTGTGGTTAGCAGTTTCTCGTAGGCGAATATATGGACCGATTTTCTTCGATGGCACTATCAATGATGAAAGGTACAAACAAGTGATGTTAGAATCATTGATCAATCAACTTGATGATGAAGAAATTCGAGTTGGCTATTTTCAGCAAGATGGGGCCACTGCCCACACCACACGTGCAAATTTAGAATATTCACAAGAATTTTATGACAACCGTGTGATAAGTCGAGGAGTTAATCCTTCTTTTCCAACACGTTCTCCAGATTTTACGCCTTTGGATTTCTGCCTTTTTGTATATTTGAAAGACGAAGTATTCAAGAGAGACAATAATAACCTTGAAGAGCTGCAAGCCTCAATAACACATTGATGCCAAAATATTGGCCCGGAAATGCTGAGGAACATTTTCGACAACAAACGGCGAAGAGTTATGGAATGCTTGGAGAACAACGGAGAACATTTTATGTAGGTTAATGAAATAAACCGTTATTTATTACTTCTTTAATAAATATTTTTGATTTGTTCCATTATTTTTCAAACTCCAATATTGGACTCTCCTTTCTTTGAGATAAATTTCCATAGTGTATTCAAAACGATATAAAAAAAGATCCTGTATATGATCACTTCCTCTCTTTTTGGTCATAAATGTTGGTGACAGCATAAGTAGAAACCAGGAAAAGGAAAAAAGTTTCAACAGCCACTACGATGTTACGATCATTTATAGGGACCCTGTATGAATAGTCCTTTCAATAACAGGATAATACAGTGATTCAAAATTGTTATCTTTACATGGGTTGTACCTACTTACTATCATTTAAAAACTAAGTACCTACCTATTCCATTACTTTCATTCAATAAATAACAATCTGAAGAAAACAACAGTAACGTTGGTATACAGGCTGACTGACAAAAAAACGCCCCGATTCGTAGCGCCGCTATTTATTATCCGATTTTGAAAAGCAAGAGAGCAAATGAAATGACTCATGAGATACTACAAAGTGGCACTAAAATTTTTTTCCAATTTCAACTATAACCACCGATTGTCAACTTTTTTTTTCCAAATGCCATTGTATATTTTTAATTTTTTTTTCTGATAGAGATTTTTTTTTCTGAATACAACGATGTATCACACTTGAGGTCTAGCGGGAAAGATTACAGAGATATAGGGTGTTCAAAATCGAGATTTTTCAACTTTAGGATCTTTTGTGTCGAAACTATTCATTATTGGTCAAAACGGCTCACATGTCTCTATCTCAACTCTTGATTTACTATCTACTGACATTAATTGGAACAGATACAGGGTGATCAGAATTCTCTGATTCTTGAACCACCCTGTATTTGTTCCAACTAAATGGCAGTAGATAGTGAATCAAAAGTTGAGATAGGCACATGCAAGCCGTTTTGACGAAAAATGAATAGTTTCGACACAAAAAAAAATCCTACAGTTGAAAAATCTCGATTTTGAACACCCTATATCTCTGTAATCTTTCCCGCTAGACCTCAAGTGTGATACATCATTGTATTCAGAAAAAAAATCTCTATCAGAAAAAAAAATTGAAAATATACGCCATTTGAAAAAAAAAAGTTGACAATGGGTGTCGTTATAGTTGAAATTGGATAAAGAAATTGTTAGTGCCACCTTGTTGTATCTCATGAGTCATTTCATTTGCTTTTTTGTTTTTTGAAATCGGATAATAAATAGCGGCGCTACGGATCGGGGCGTTTTTTGTCAGTCAGCCTGTATACAATATCAACATATATGAATATATATAGGTAGTATTTTGACACAGACTGGAAAAGTACAATTTCGATATGACTTGAGTATCATAAATGAATACCAGCACTATTTCTATATTTTTATATTCAAGGAATACTATAGAAATTCAACAAGAATTCTCTCAGTTGTTTCTTGAATCTTATGCAAAGCTAATCCAAGAACCTCTTGTTAAGAGTTATTCAGGGAGCACAGAGTGTCAACAGTAGTATCCTTGTGTTTGATTCACAAAACCAGAGATATTTACGTAGTCGTGGAATCATTTCACAACACACGCCAGTCAGGCATGGTAAAGCTTCCCCGGCCGCGATTTTACGCCCACCGTTATATCTCATCTTCAAAGTACTTTACTTAGGCAAAACTCAGAGACTATTTATCCTCAACGAACTAAACTATCCCTGATTGCAATATTTTTGAGGAAGGAAAACCGAATGGAGTGTAGAAACACATTGATTAATAATATATTTCAAAAGTTGAGTTCTTCAACAAAATTGAATAAAATGAGACTGTTTATCCTAAACGCACTAACCTATTTGACTTCAAATATTTAATGAAAAAGGAAAACCAGAATGAAGTAAAAAAACATTGGTGAAAAAAAAAAGTTGCAAAAAAAAATTCAAGTTCACAGCGATTCGAACCATGGACCTTCAGACTGAAAGTCGACAGCGCTAACCAGTAGACCATTTGGGTGTATGAATTTACTGCGTACAAGAGATTGACAACGAGAGAGCTTCAGTCGAATTCGTGTCAAAATCATAAAAAGTGTATTCTCGCGTTGGAGCACAGTATATTTAGTGCGATGTGCTGACTCCGAGTATATCGGTAATGTTTGGAGATATGACGTATTATGGTGGGCGTGGTTTGTGCTAGCGTGCAGTATATTTAGGAAAATCGCTTCCCGTACAAGACAGAAAAAAACTGATATCGGCGCCTGTTTATCAATTCACATGAAAAACTCAAAGGTGAAAACCGCATATCGAAATCTATATTTATTTTAGAGCGACAAGGTGTTTCTGGAAGGTGGCTTAAACTCTTTTTCTTTGGCTAAATTCTTCGTTTTTACAAAAACTTTTCCGGCCACTGAAATCAGTCACCGTATACCTAGTTGCAAAATATAACTTTTTCTTCAAGAAGAACAAGTTATATTCTTGAACTAGATATAGGAAGGCCGATTTCAGTGTCTCGAGAACAATTTTTATCTCAAACTCAATGCTTTGCAGTTATTGTCACGAGTATTCCAATGTATATTTTGTAAACGTTTTTGAATAAACTTGTATTATAATTATTTGCTCAGTGAACATGTGGTCAACAAGGGCGATTTTCACACTTTTTATACCTCTCGCCTAACAGATTCTCATTCAAAACGACAACAAACACACCAAACGGGGTATAAAAAGGCAGCAAACCCACCTTGTAGTTTAGCATCGAACCGGCCAATGCCCGAACGCTGGCCGCCGCGTCGTCGGCTATGCTGCTCGCGTTCGCCGACTCGCTGAGACTCGTCAGGCTGAACCGCTGGGCGGACGCCAAATCGGCGTGGACGTCGAGCCGCTGCCCCCGGCCGCCCGCCCCTCCCCCGCCGCCCTGCCCGAGGCTGCCCGCCAGCGCGTGCGTACTGGACGATTCGCCGTCCTCTTCGATGTCCCCCCTGTGGGTAGGATGGCAGAACTGGTCACTGCAACAACAGAAATGATTGATAATTGATTTTTGTTCGAGTGACTATTCCACAATATTCTGAGACTCATGGACAAACTCCAAACTATGGTTACAGCTCTGACTGAATGGTTTTGTAATTGGAGATTGATACCTAACCTGAAAAAACAGCGATACACAGCGATATTTTCTTGTTCACTGAATTGTGAGCTGAAATCTAATATTTTGCCCGTGTATAATACACTATTTTTTTCTGTGACAGAAGGACGAATCAATATCGAGAAGATATTACATTATTTTGAAAACTGAAAATTATGGACGTGAAATTTTAAATTTTTAACAGTAGAGACACCTGCGTTGTAGGCATCTTCATCATTCTTCTGAAGTAATCAAATATCTGATGACACTTCTGTCAGTCTAATGCTGTGATTTGATAAAAAAATTGCGAATTTAGTGGTTGTTTAGTAATATACATAACCGTGAAGTCGAATGGAAGATTTTTTTTAATCGCTTGTAGCGCACGAAAGGGGATCCCTATAATGTTCAAAGAACATCGTGCGTTCCTAGGGAGGATAGGGACAGGAGGTAGGTATTGGAATTTTTTTTGAACTTTTGGAGATTATATGTTGTTGGACTTGCAGTATTATTGACTCATTTTTCGGAACTATAGCACAACAGAAGCCATCAACAGTGTATAATATGTGATATACAAGGTGATTCTAAAATAGGTGGTCAAATTTTGGGAACATAATTATAGAGTGGGTGAAATAGTTACGAAAACCTCCGTAACATTTTTTTCTGAAGTGACCCCCAAGAAAGATACAGCCCCTCAAAGGGGGGCCTCGGAGAATGATTTTGTATTATATTATCTACAACACCTTGTATGATGAGAATCTAAAATTTTGTTTATCCACTAACTATTCAGTGCCGGTTCGAATGGTGTTAAAATCACCTCAAAATTAAATACAGGGTTGTGTCAAAATAGGGAGGTAGGGGGTAAGAATAACCCCAAATTTTTTGATCATCGCAATTTTAGTTTTATGACATGGAATTATGAAATCTCAGGGCTATATACATAGAAAAGGTGCTCTAGTTGCATCTCGATAAAATGAACTATTAGCGAATAAAATTTAAAAAAGCTTGTTCTTAACAATATTTTTTATTTTAGTATTTTCAATAGGATCAGACCATAATCACGAATCTCGTCGTATATTTTCAATTCATGAATTCTGACAACGAATTCAAAATTTCCAACCCCAAAAACCCTTACAAACCAATTCTGAATCGAATCGGACCATAATCATAAATCTGGTCAGCCACATTGGAGCCGCCATATTTTTTCAAAAAGTCTATAACGCGTTGTCAACTGTCATCTGCCAGATTCCAAGATGATCAGATGATTAGAAGTAGGTAAACATTCAGTTGCAAGATTTGAACTAGATAATTAAACTTAAGTGCATACCAAAATTGCAATTGAAATGAAATCTTGGAAATATAAATTTTATTCGCTAATGGTTCAGTTTATCGAGATTTAACAAGAGCTCCTATTCTATGTCAATAGCCCTGAGATTTCATAATTTCATGTAAAAAAACTGAAATTGCGATGAACAAAAAAGTTGGGATTATTTTTACCCCCTACCTCCCTATTTTGACACACCCCTGTATTTAATTTTGAGGTGATTTTAACTCCATTCGAACCGGCACTGAATAGTTAGTGGATAAACAAAATTTTAGATTCTCATCATACAAGGTGTTGTAGATAATAATACAAAATCATTCTCCGAGGCCTCCCTTTGAGGGGCTGTATCTTTCTTGGGGGGCACTTCAGAAATAAATGTTACCAAGGTTTTCGTAACTATTTAACTCACTCTATATACTCCCAAAGTTTGACCACCTATTTTAGAATCACCTTGTATATCCGGGAAAAAAGTAATTTATGAAAAGTGACATTTTATAACTTGCCAACAGAGATGAAATGCCAAACTTTTTTCCCGTCACAGAAAAAATTTTTTTTCTATTTCTCAAATAACTTACCTAAGTACTTGGCTGCCGCTGGCCATCGACAGACTAGCTTCCCCGATCGAGGGGTTCATCGCGCCGACGCCCTTGGCCGAAGCGGCGTCGATGGACGCCGAGTCTCCCGCCCGAGCTGCGTCGCCGTGCGCGTCGTTTTCGGCAGACGACGCCGCCCCCGACGCCGACGACGCCGGACCGCCGCCGCCGCTGCTGCCACCCCCGCATCCGCCCGAACGGCACAAGGACAGCGGCACGACGCCGTACACGTAGAAGAGGAGAATGGGGACGCCGATGCCGACGGCGAGGCCTGCCAGGATGGGGGAGATCAGCACCTGCAAACGAAAATTTATACGGTGGAGCATTATGTTCTTTGAATCTTGTATATGTGCTTCGGTATCTTTGCACAATATATTTTCTGTTGATTGTTACGATTTATTAAACGGATACCTTACTGTAACATTGAAAGATATTGGGCAAACACGTCAAAGATTGGGTACAAGATTTGGAGAACATATTGCTTCCTCCAAAAATAGAGAAGTGCACAAAAAACGGCCAGGAATGTAACTTTCGAATTATTCGAGATAGAGTTTTGAAAATTGGTGGGTAGCAAGTATAACCAATTGCTCATTAATTTATGAAATAATTTTTCTTCTATCACTTCCAGTCTTACCGGAAACGACCCCAACTTTTGATTTTCAAATGGGACGAATTCATCAATACCGGGTTTGATAGGGTTACTTCCAACGATTACGCAGATATTCGCGTTCCATATGCTCAATGAGTTTGATAGAGAAAGAAGTTTTGATAATGCGAAGTCACACCCATTGAGCATATGGAAATTTTGAACGCAAATATCTTTGTAATCGTTTGAAATAACCCTATCAAAGCCGGTATCATTGAATTCGTCATGATAATCCCTAAACGATTATGGAATACAATACACGGTGTCCCATTCAAAAATCAAAAGTTGGGGTCGTTTCCGGTGAAACTGGAAGTGATAGAAGAAAAATTGTTTCATCGATTAATGAGCAATTTGGTATACTTGCTAACCACCAATTTTCAAAACCCTATCTAGAATAATTCAAATGTTACAATCTTGGCCGTTTTTTGTGCACTTCTCTTCACTTATGGTGAACAGGACTAAATCGGTATGTGTATATTTTTCCAATACAAACAGTGGGATAACTCCTACAATACAAAGTATAGAGATAAAAGACAGCACAACATTTCTAGGAACTGTTATAGATGATAACCTGAATTTCACACTGGAAATAGACGGTATATGTTCCAAGCTCGCCAGAGCAACCTTCGCCATTTTAAACTTGAAGAAGGAAATAGATACAAGAAATCTAATAACAGCATATTACTCCTTGGCATATTCTGTAATGAGCTACAACATAGTCGTTTGGGGCCAATCTACGGACGTCCATAGAGTTTTTACTATGCAAAAAAGAATAATTAGAATAATCTTCAACATGAATTACAGAGATTCATGTAGAACAGACCTGAAAAATAACAAAATACTCTCCCTAACGAGCATCTATATATTCAAAATATCATGCTATATGTATAAAAATGGAAACAACTTCCTTAAAAACAGCAATGTGCATAATTATCCAACGAGAAATGCGAGGAAACTACATCTAACCAAATGCAACTTAAGTAAATCCAAAAAATCACCAAAATATGCAGGTCCCGAAATTTTCAATAAACTCCCTGATAATCTGAAAAGCTTAAAATCTTACCAAGCATTCAGAAAAGCTTTGAAAGAATACTTGGTGGAAAAATGTTTTTATAACTTTGTAGAGTTCATGCAATGAATCACTAAATGTACTAACATCTTCACCCAGAATGAATAATAGGTTGCTACACACTTGTATGTATTCATTATCAAAACTTGGAACTATTTTGTATCTCATCAATATTTATGTTTTCAGTGTGTAATTTTATATGTAAGTACGTAAGTATGTAATTTTATGTGTAAAAACATGTCAGTTTGTACTGACTCTGTGACGGACTCTGATTTGACGAAACCTACTGTGAGTGTTTTTGGTAAATAAAGAATTATTATTATCATTATTATTATTATGTGTTTCAGCATATTTGCACAATATATTTTATGTTGGGTGTTACGATTTATTCAATGGATACCTGACTGTAACATTGAGAGATATTGGGCAAACACGTCAAAGAATGGGTACAAGATTTGGAGAACATGTTGTTGTTGTTGTTAATAATAATAATTTATTTTGAAGTTTGACTTTGACGTTAAGTTTTGCTTCGAAATAGATGAAAAATGGTCAAATCGATCAAAGGCACGTGACTTTTCAAATTAAACGCTGAAAATAGGCATGTTTGTTCGAATTTCAATAAAGCTTACTGAGAAAAGTTGTTTCTATTCCAATTTTTCACATGTGTCTCGAATTTGAACGTTTTATTGCAACTTTTACTTCTTGATATTTTTTTGGTTAAGTGGACTCTTATTTTTATTTCTTAAATAGAATCATCACTCAAATACCATTCGATTCCATATTTTTGTAGATATTGTTGGTCGATTTTAAGGTGCTAAAATCATCAATAATGCCACAGAAATTTTCAAAGGGCTAGACATGTACCACAAATGAAAACTGACGTCACGATTTCGTAAGTAGGAGCAGACCATAGCACAGTTGCCATATGTTGAAATACGATTGGGAACTTCAGAAATATCAATAATTCAAGAATTCATGGATTCTCAATTATATATTGGTTATACAGGGTGTTCCGAAACTATTGTTCCGAAACTATTGTGCCAAAATGTAAGGGTGGGTAGATCTCGCCAAAACAAACGTTTTTTACTTATCAACCCATAGGCGCATGCACCTTATTTCGGTACCAATAGGTATCACAAGAAAAAAGTTTAACATATGTGCATACTCAAATAATATCGATATTGAGTGCCCAGCTCTACCTATTTTGATTTTTGACGTATGTACATACATAAATAAATAATATCGATATTGAGTGCTCAGCTCTACCGATTTTGAGAATCGAGACCAATCGCTGCGCTCCGGACACTCGTATTGCGTAGGCTTCTCATTAATTATTGCGTCGTGGCAATGTGTAAAACCTAACTCAATCTAAATTGTGGTGTTTTTTTAATAAACTCTCCCAAATATTGCTTGTGATTCAATGTTATTTACTAACACGGTTTCCGGTACAAACACGTTTCCCCGTGTCCGAGGGGATACCACTGCGCGGACCTTAATGCGCTATTATCACTGAACGCATGCGCATGCGCCTATGGGTTAATAAGTGAAAAACGTTTGTTTTGGCGAAATCTACCAACCCTTGAATTTTGGCACAATAGTTTCGGAACACCCTGTATACCTAATTAGCAATAAAAAATCCATTGTCTCAAAATGGTCCCTCATATGTTGTGGCTTATTGGTTATAATGTAGGTACTTGTGTAAATATTATTAATTATATTGATTCACACTCGAGAAAGTAAAAAATGAACTATAATATCATGGCTTCCTCCTATTACTTTTCATTTAACGACATGACTCTGACATCTTCTTTCGGCAGGTTCGCAATTCATCGATTTATACAACATACTGAAAATTCAAAAAATTTAACCGAGAACCATTTTATGTATTAATAGTGCGAGGTCCTTTCGATCAAAAACTAACATCAAAAAATCAGAAATTCTCGCTTCCGTCAATTTCTATCCAACAAAAATGTACAAAAAATCAATATACATGAATCCAGTTGAAAGTTAAGAGTTATCAGCCAGGTCAAAATTGACAATTCATTAGAACGTTTCTGTTCCATATTTCTCCATATGTCAATTTCACAAAATCTTCGTATCTTCGTTATGGATGACCAAAAAAATTGTTCATGCATATGTATACATCAGTTCGTCTTGATTTCCCTATTCACCATGCAGCTATGTGATTTTCCTCATGAATCACCCTGTATATGATTATTCAACCACAGTGAATTGTTATCAATAAAAGCAGTAATTGCAAAAATTACGAGTGCGGAATTTGAATACACTATTTTTTTCTCTGACAGGAAAAAGGACGAATCAATTTCAAGAAGATATTACATAATATTAAAATCAGAGAATGATCGACATGTAATTTGAAGTTTTTAACAGTATCATTCTTTTGTATTTCTGTGATTTAATTTTCAAAAATTGCGAATTTAGTGGTTGTTTAGTAATTTACGTAACCGAAGTAAAATGGAAGATAAAAGGACTTGCAGTACTTTCTAGGAGACGGTGTTATTAGCTCATTTTTCAGAACTATAGCACAACAAAAGCCATCTACAGTGCATATATAATGTGATAATTTTATGTCCGGGAAAAAAAGCACTCACTTTTTTCCCGTGGGAAAATAGTAATTTACGTAACAAATCCGGAAAATACTATTTTTTGGACGAGTAGACAAAATTCTAGGCCGAGCCGCAGGCGAGTCCTGGAAGTCTGCGAGACCAAAAAAACTGTTTTTGGACGTGTTGCGTACAGTATTTTTTCGGCAACCATGTAGAATAACAAATCAATGAGACACATTTCCATATTATATTCCTTTGTAAAATACAATTTCTTCTTCATTAATTCTCATTTGTATCAAATACTGAAATTTGAACAGAATACCTATACCTACTAACTGTTATATACATTGGAAATTTCGTATGGACATTTTCAAAGTCACTATCGCAGCTGCTTTCGATAGGTTATTGCGATAATTGCAACCAAACTTTCAAAAATCAAAATTACAACTAATTCCATGTCAAATAGCTGTCAGCCGATATTTCGCTGCTATGGTAATTATCACCTGCATTTATCGAAACCATATCTACCAAGATTTTCATAGTTACAGTGACAACGATGTAATACTTCCCGGCCTAGTCCGGGAAGTAAGGCCGGAAAAAAGCTACTTTCTCAAAGAAAAAGCGTCCGGAAGTGATCACTTCCCGGACTGTTGCCGAAAAAAGTATTTTAAGAAAAGTGGCATTTTATAACCTAATAGACGAACCAATGTATGCAGCATAAGCATGATGAATTTATTCAATTCTCAGAATCAACAATGAATGTTAATTTAATCTGAATAGTTAATAATTGCTTCTATTTCGAGTGGGTTACACTAATTGACTTTCCGACATTATAAACGAGTCTTTGATGTAATGAATCATAAAAACAAGTCGAATTTCATTTTAGAAAGCGCTATGGTATCCTCAAATGGTGAATTATTTATTGAAAATCTCACGCATTGTTACAATGCAATACACGTTTTTTTTTTAAATAGTCACATGAAACTTTCATATTTCCTCAAAAATATAAAGGATGTTTTTCCACGAGTTACAATCGTCTAGTCAGTCCAAGAGCCGACTGCAAATTCCGACCGTTATCTAAAAACGAAATGTTATAATGTTCCGAAGGCATGTGAAAACATTGTATTTTATCGAACGGCACCTGTGCCAATCATTATCCTGTGCAAAATGATTGAAAAATTGCACTTTCCTGTGCGTTAATTTGCACTCAATTTCGCGATTTGATAACGAGATAAAAATTATGCCATCCGATACCAATTGAATGATAGATCTCAAAAACCTTCCTGTGTCACCCCTCAATCTGAGATACAGGATGTCAATGTTGAAAATATGCATAGATTATTTTTTCGTCCACCCTGTATAGCTTTTCGTGATGGCAAAATTCATTCTGCTATGTGACTGAATCGGTGTACAAATTTCAAAATGTTACATACGGTGGTTATCCAGTAATGGATGTCTTGAATGGAGTACTCAGACATGAAATTTTGAAGTCTGGTCTCGTTTTTCCGTTTTTCCTCGAAAACGAAGCGTTCTATCAGGCCTGTTCGTTTGTGCTTGCTCTACCTGCTGAACTTGATTTTTTTCTATGACTGTTCACATTATGTCATGAACAGAGACTATGGAATTATGGAAAAATAATCAGCTTTAGCAAGTTTAGCAATACAAACGAACAGGCCTATCGAGTATCAACAAGAGGATATTTATTGTACAGAATTGAATGACCTTTCATAGGATTGTATGATATTTGTAAATTTTCCTTCGTTGCTCACTTTTAAATAATATATAAACAATAATATCCCCCATACGGCGCCACTGGTAGAGAAAATGAAAATTTGTGTACATCAGAAAATGCACCTTGATGCATATAAGACATGTACCAAATTTGGTAAAGATGTCTACAATATTATCTCAGTTATTACTAGAAAACTGATTTTTTTTCAAAACTTCATCGCCCTGTATCTCAAAAGTTTAGACTTTTAAGACATACGTTCATAGGGAGTTTTTATCTTGAATCGAGTCAAAGGATCACTCCTTTAAATATTAGCATGTCTTTAAGGAACACCCTGTATACATTTTTTCATGTTCATAATTTATCTGAGAATATTCCTTTTCAATACTTTCACCCAATCAAGGGGTTACTTTTATAGACCTCCAATCGCAGATTCATGATGAGGTTTCTTCAATCCAGAATTTCTTTCCACGTCCTGTATGATGAATATCTATTTGTCATGCATCCAAAAACAAATAATTCGTATGTTGTATTTTATTTGAACAACACTAAATTTCAAACTACGTGACGAGAAAACCACTCCCTGCTAGTACGCCGCTGGTTTGCACCACACCCTTTCGCTGGTGCGCTCCACATTTCCTGCTCCCCTATCTCATCGGGTCGCAGGAACCGTCGGGACGCTAGCAGGAACGCGAAACGCGGTCGAACACAGAAACTCAGAGTTGCCAGATTGGGCGATCGGTCGCTAGTAATGGGGATTGCAAAACTGGTCACCTTTCAAAAAATTGAAAAGTTTTCGATCGAATCAGAATCAATACAAGGTGTCCCAGAGCAACGTACCATAATTTCTACAGGGTGACCTATAGACCAGAATAGCCGGATTGAAATCAACTTGAGCCGTGGGATGGCGATGAAGAAGAATGTTCTTTCCAGATTTTCTTCAATATTTCGAAATCCTTGGAAAGTACAGCTCTGAAATTCGTAGTGTAATTCACAATAGCGCATGTGCATGGGAAACATGTCGTACCAATTCATCAATATACAAGTTAGGCATTCCACATTATCTTTCATAAAAATTAATGTAACTTGTTTTGGAGTACGGCTCTGGTCACATTTTGATATTTTGATGAATGGCAAAATCAATTATCTCACGTTTTTCTAACTGTAGTGTTTTTATAATTTTTCTTGGTTCTCTCTCTCTCTTCTCTCAGTATATTTGATGATGCTCACTCGAAATATGCAATTGAATAAGTCGTAGGTATACAGGATAACATCGAAGTGCACCTAAACTTTCCTATTTGAATAGGGACACCCAGTATATTATTCCATATTCAAGTATAGTTTATTATTACAAATTCAACAATGCCGGGTTTGATGGGATTATTTCAAACGACTACGAAGATATGGCAAAAAAAAACGATTCAATAAAAATTTATATGATTAGATTTTATTAATATAACACGATTGAAATCGAATGAAAAAAAAATTAAAACCTCAACTGCTCAATATGTCGTCCATTCTGCTGTAAACATTTCCTAGCTCTTTTGATAACGTTCATTGTGACCCTATGTATCACGTTGCGATCAATTTGTGCGCATAAATTTGTGATACACAATTGAGAAAATTGGTGGTTATTAGATTTTCTCCAAACTAATGGCGAAGATAATCCTTTACGGGTATGTAACTATGCGCAGGACACCCATCATTCGATTTCAATCGTGTTATATTAATGAAATCTAATCATATAAATTTATTATTGAATCGTTTTATTTTTTGCCATATCTTCGTAGTCGCTTGAAAAAATCCCATCAAACCCGGCATTGTTGAATTTGTAATAATGAACTCTACTTTTGAATATGGAATAATATACTGGGTGTCCCTATTCAGATAAGAAAGTTGATGTGCACTTTGGTGTGACCCTGTATACCAAGGATTTATTCAATAGCATATTTCCAGTGAGCATCATCAAATATACTGGGTGACCAAATTTCAAGACATTCGATTGCGCAGTAGACTTTTTACAAGGGGGGACATTTTAGCTGGTACACGGTGTATATATGTACTATTTCTATATATGACTCATCGCCTATACGATATCTCAACAGAAATGGGACCAAAATGAGAGGTACTTTTTGAATCTATATAAGGACGGAAAGTGAAGGATGGAAACAGCCATATTGGTTTGACAAGTTTCGTATTATTTTTCCCTACGTCGGCATCAACGCCTATTGGTCGATTTCGTTTCCTATAGAGACAGAAGTTGGTCCCGCTTTGAGGAGAGCTATGCTTCATATATGAGTAGTAGATATATGCACTATATCTTACTTCCATCATTGATTTATTCAAAATATTAAACACGTTACCATGGCAACACAATTTCTTGAACACATTACCATGGCAACAGAGTTTTTTAAACATACCTTCAGTCGTTCGAGTCCTGTCTGGCCTGTCAATTGTAGGAACTGTCAATTGTCATTTTCGAATTTTGTTGCTATCAGAATTATTCAAACATTTCTTGTTTGTATCAGGATTCTTCATTGAAAATGTATGCGAAATGTAGACGAAAGTGAAATTGAAATTAAAAGTGAATTGCATATTTCCAAGAACTCTAGGTAAAAATGAAGCTCTCATTTTTGTGAGCAATGTTAAACACAAGACATACAATGTACCTCATTGATTTATCGAAAACAGGAAAACAAGAGAAATTTTATGTTATAACCGTAGAAAAATACAGTTTCACTAGCGATTGGCGATCTGGACTATACCTTGTGAAATTAGGCTACTTCGTGTTGAAAATATCTGGCAACCCTGCCGAAAAACAGCTAGCCAGGCCAGTGTCGATCCAGACTGATACCGTTGCGCAAGTAAAATATAATGAAAATGTAGTTTTTATTAGAAATCGCGTCTAAAACAATGAATAAATGAAAGTGTTGACAACAAAGGACGTGTTATTCATATTCAGTACGTGTAAGAAATATCTGCTATTTTTTTCTCATTAGGTGCATCTTGGCCACGAAACTAACTATATCAGTACATTCATCCGGACTGATATGTAACGATTGATTGAAAAAGGCTTGGACATTTTGTAGCTTCATATTTTTTGTCTCAACAGGTTCAAAGATGGGCAAATATTCAGATAATTTTTTTTTCTTGATAACGAAGTGAAACCCGAAATAACTCAACTAGCTGAAAAAATTTGTTTTTCTTCAAATGACATTAAAAGTGGATTTTTAATGACACTCAACAGGCAGAAAAGGTGTATTTTTACTGCCTATAGGCAGAAAAAGTTTGTTGCTATGCAAGTAATTTGAATCAAATTGGTAATCAAAATTGACAATGACTTTGAGAGAACAAAAAATGATGGATTATTTGGACTTCGCGTGAAATTGAAGAGAATTTGGAGAAAAAATTATATGTTTCACATGGCAGAAAAGAAGATGTGATGCCGGCCGCGGCATTAAATCTTGTACTTTTCTGCCTAGTTAAACAACCATTTTCTTCGACGGGAAAAAAGTTTGAAATTTCATCTCTGTTGGGTTATGAAATGTCACTTTTCATAAATTACTTTTTTCCCACGAAAAAAGTGAGCACTTTTTTCCTGAATATATATCACATATTTATACACTGTTGGTGGCTTTCGTTGTGCCATAGTTCCGAATAAAAAGCCAATAACACCGTCTCCGAGAAATATTACGAAACAACTACTAAATTTGCGATTTTTGAAAATCAAATCAAAGAATTAGACTGACAGATATTTGATCACTTCAAAAGAATGATGAAGCTGCCTGCAAAAAGATGCCTGCAACGCAGGTTTCATTACTGTTAAAAACATCAAATTTCACGTAGATAATTTTCTGATTTTAATTTAATATAATATCTTCTCAATATTGATTCGTCCTTTTTCCTGTCACAGAAAAAATAGTGTATTATACACGAAAAAAATATTAGATTTAAGTTCACTATTTTCAGTTGCTACACTTGGAAAATTGAAAAGAATCAACTGAGTGCCATTTGAAAAAAAAAATATTTTTTTGTATCTAGTGCGCAAAATGCTACTTTGGTGATCGAGAACTGATTTTTTTTAATGAGGCGCAGTTGAAATATAAAAATCTCATATAGTTTACATACACTGCTTCGCACATGGTGTCGTGGTAACGTAGGAAACTGAAAAAATAGTGTCACTTCGCAATTTGTTATCAATGCGCGAACCTTGTAATTTTTTGACGTTTGTAAAAAAAATAGTCGACTTGCTCCATGATGGGCACGCCCTGAAATTACTGGATCAACTATACTAAATGGGTAATCGAAGACTGGAACCTTCAACACGATAATCCACTACACTGTTTTACCACTAACCAAATCGACTCGACACGTCTTTTTCCAACTATGTCAGCATCTTCAGGAGAAGATTAAAAGATTTACATTATAATAGTGTAGTGTATACTTAAGGGGGCCAAAAAATTCAACAAATTTTGGAATCAGTGAAGTTGTCATGGCATTTTTCGATAGGTGATTATAAATGAGAAGTTTTTTCAGAAACTCGAACACTGTACTCGACGGATCTGACATTTCGTACACTGATAATGAATTGTCCTGTATACCTACCAGATAAACAAGTTCTCGAAGAGAAAAATACAGGGCTATCTTTGTTGAACTATAAGCTCTTCGAAAATTCAACCATCCTTTCATAACCTACCTCAAAATAAATCCAAAATTAACACTACAAACATACTGGGCTGCACATTATCACCAAAATTCAAGTCATCTGGTATGAATGATTATATCACGTGCTTTTGTGTAGGACTCGGTGTAGGATGCGAAATGGCAATCATAATAATTCAGTAAAATTTCAAGGTACAACAATTATTGATTTCGCGCTACAATGCATTATTTCATGTTTATCAGTGGTTGTACTGTAAAGAACATCCTAGGCAACTCATTTGATGGGCTCCTCAATTCAATGATATAAGCCATTTACGACACAAAAATTCATCGAAGCGTGAAATTACTCCAACCATGGAATTCTCAAGAACATACAATTGATAAAGGCGTGATATCATAAAATTCATCGAAGCGTGAAATCCCTCAAAGCGTGGAATCCCTCAAAGCGTGAAATCCCTCAAAACGTGAAATCCCTCAAAGCGTGAAATCCCTCAAAGCGTGAAATCCTCAAAGCGTGAAATCCCCCAAAGCGTGGAATCCTCAAAGCATGAAATCCATCAAAGCATGAAATCCATCAAAGCGTGAAATCCCTCAAAGCGTGAAATCCCTCAAAGCGTGGAATCCCTCAAAGCGTGAAATTCTTAAGAACGTGAATTTCATTGAAGCGTGATATAATCAAAACACAGCATTCATCAAAGCGTGATATTCCCCAGTGTGAAATTCAACTCAGATTGAAATCCGATAGCGTGAAATTTACCAGACCGAAAATGTCCAGCTAATACGAGGATTTCGCGCACGAAAAGAAAAAACTTCACGCGGGGCAACGATGTCGGACAGCGAGGACGAATCGACAGGCGCATCCGATTGGCACGTGACCGAGGAATGGCTGCAGGAGGTGCTCAGGGAGCACCACAAGGAGCTCAAACAGCCCGCCGAAGTGACCGTGTTGGATTTTTCGGTGCGACCGGGTTGCGAGACGGGAGAGAGCGTCCTCAGCGACATCTTGGCGGTGGCCGTCAAATACGGTTTGAGGTACGAATCGATAGGGTTCGAATCGGGTCTGTCTGACGTACATAGTACTTTTCAAGATTTCAGATTTAACAGGTGGGAAACCATTGTGCCAACCATTACCACTTTTCTCAAAGGTGGAATTATAAAGCTCAGTCTACAGGGTGATTCAAAAATGTGTACCGAGCTTTCTAGAGGTATTAGTATAGTTTGAAGAATGAACTAATGGTCCAAAATACATATTGAGGGAGATACATCTATCCAAAGTTGATAAAATTGAAATGATCCTGCATAACTTCTGAACGGTAAAAACCACAAGATTGAATTTTCCTGCATAAATGTATGTTGATAAAATACATTTTTCTGATACACTTCTACATATCTGATATTGATATTAAAGCTGTTTTTAGAGGTAATGACTTTTTTTCTCGTATTCTTTTTGGTAAAAAAATTGAAGCAAATTGTAACCGTTTTCGAGAAATTTGAGTTTTTCTAGTGACATGATATCAGCAGATAAATTCTTCAAGAATAATAGTTCATGAGGCCTCGAACTTCTTGGCCGGACACCATTTCTATTTTGCCTTTTGAAACATTCTCTTCCACGGAACCTTTGCATAATCCTCAAAATTGTTCTAGAATTTGGTTCGGAAAACATCTCGGCATAACGAAAAACCTGCGATTTCTTGAAATCTCTTTCGGAAATTGCAGTATTAATATCACTAAGCAAAAAAACTAAACAAGGAAATTAACAATAACAGTCATTTTACGTCACAATTAAGAACAAATTGGCCTCCTGGAATATTGTTTTCATAATTTTTTTTTCGCTCTGTCGAATGCTTCTATTTTCCACCAAGAAGAATAAGAGAAAAAAAGTTTTCTTCAAAAAATCATGACCCACCCTCTAGTAACACCTTTTATATCGATATCAGAAATGTGGAAGAGTATAAGAAAAATGAATTTAATCAACATACATTTATGCAAGAAATTTCAATCTGGTCGCTTTTACCGGGAAAATTGTTTGAATTTCATCAAGTTTGAAAGGATATTCATCTCCCTTATATACATTTTGGGATATTAGTTTAATCATCAAACTATACATTTGTCAATGTACAATTTCCTCCAGAAAGCTCGGTACACATTTTTGACTCACCCTTTAAAATTAAAGACTCCACCAGAAATATTGGGATTGTTGTTATTTATGTTATTTGGAATGAAAGTCATAAATCGAATTGGCTGCTCAAGAGTTTTCTAAACTTTGTTGAAATTGAAAATACCCAATGACCATTATCGATACGAGGTTGATTTAACCATTTCATCCCCTTCCGAATTTTAAAACGTACAAGGGGTCAAGTTACATTTTGTTAGAGAGGTATTTCGATTCTCTATACTGGGTCTATTTTTTTTTCAATTCGGTTGAGCTATGCTCCCTTGATGCAAACTGACGTATTTGTCTTCTCAACAGGGTACGGATAGATCCTTGTCTCCTCTCACTCTGAAGTGTTTGTGAAACATTAATATAGTTTCATCCTCATTCAATTCTGGGGATAAACACTAGATTTCTGGAATTTGTTGTTTTTAAGGTTATAGGACATTGGCGTATCATGATTAAACTCAACTCAACTCAACATAAAATATCTTTATTTATTTATTAATTAATTTATTTATTTATTGAAAATGTGACTTCCAGTCAGAATCAAGTTCTGGTATAAGGAAGTATAGTTAACAATAATACCTAAAACTATACAATTATATTGAACTCATAAATAATATAATATTTGAATACATAAAGTATTGAATTTTGAGAAATCATTCCATATTGGTGAGCAACAATTAATTTGAATATGAATCAAAAGTCGAAGAAAAAAAATCATTTATTTCGTTCAGAATTGATGAATTTTTCAAGTTGATATTTGAATTTTATTGTATTTCTGCAATGTTTTATATTATCTGGTAATTTGTTATATTCAAAAAGAGCAGCGTGGATGAATCTTTTTGGCCTATAGAAGAATTAGCGATATCAAGATGAAATAAACCATGTTGTCTAGTTTGGTAATCATGAATTTTATTGTTTCGTGTTAAAATTAAATTGGATTTCAATCTTTTATTTATGATATTGTATGTAATTTTCATATTTTCAATCTTGAACATTTCTTTTAATGAGAATGATTCAGTTATTTTAAATAATTGATTTGTTGGTGTATCATATGGTAATCGATACAGTACTTCCAATCCAAATGATGATCAATAAATTTTGTTTTTGATTTTTCAACTCCAGCATAATCTTTGTGAGGCAGTGAGCATACATTTTCCTGAAAGTTTAATATATTTTACCAAATGGGACTGTTCTTGGACTGTATACCTATAAATATTAAATGAATTCTGATTTCAGACTAAGAAAAAAAAGACCTACAGGGATTTTTGTTCCCTCTCGAAACATAGGATATGTTCTCTCTGGGAAGTTATACAGGGAGCAGGTATATGTTGATTCGAGAAGGAAAAATCCCCTATGGAGACTATTCTTCATTTTTGTTCTACAATCAAAAATAAAAGAGTTACAGGGGGTGGTACTCTATTACTTGTCACGGTACTGCAACTGTACTCTCTTACGGATATGGCTCAACCGAATAATAAAACAAAAGGATGGTTGTACAGAATTTATGAAATACCTCTCTGACTATGTGACACTTGAACAATTGAAAATGTTTGGAGGGATTGATCTGTGTAGCAGGAGATTGACTAGAAATATTAATACAAAAAAAATCGACCTGTTCAAGGATCTTTCAAGATATGGAAATACGAATTTCATTCCATACTGTATATATCGCTCATTTTGTTTCACACAAAGGTGTCAATGAATAACCAACTTGAGAACCATCTTGTTTTTTTATTCTAGAGAGGAATCTACAGAAAGCACGCACTGTCTCAGTTTTATCATAAAACTGTTGCCACAAGATCCGTTTAGTCGATTTTTCGTTACCGAAGCACAATTTGATCTCCGAGAAATTAAATTTTATACTCAAGTAAGTTATTTTAATTCTCCTATGTAAAATGTCTTTATTATATGTGAAACTAGTAGACTCGAATAGTTGAGATTTTCTTCATTGCAACCACCCGAAAATATTTTTCGTTGTGATACTGTCCTCACTTTTGAAAAATATTATATTCTTTAAAACAATACCACTTGCCTAGCTGACACCGTAGATTCTTCAGGTATTTTTTCAAGGTGGACAATATTAATCAGGCCAAAAATTCAATATTTTGAATAATATAATGTCAATAATTTGCCCAATTGAATTCTTATACCAAAAAAACTCCCGAATATTTCAGGTAGTTCCCGATTTGGAATCGTTTAGACAAAAAGTTCCAGATGCTCTAGATTTAAGACTTCCAATCCCAAAATGTTACTACGCACACTATAGGGCAGGTAAGAATAATATGTTTATCAATCATCTGCTCGAAATGTAGTAAACTACTATCGGAGCAAAAAAAATCGAAAAAATTCCAGCTGTTAAAAAGTTAACTAGAGAGAGGACCACTTATGGACACACAGTACACTAGTTTAAAGTTTTAATAGTGAATTAAATAGTTTGTTTCAACCTAATTTCTATGAAGAACATTCCTATTCCAAGGTGGCAGTTCAATGTCATTATAGTAATTTAGTAATTCACAGCCAAAAGAAACACATTTTTTTGACGTGCTTTTTCAGGTGCCACCGATCCCGAACCGACACCTCCCGAGTCCGTCCTCGTCTTAGAAAACATCAAACCGTTCGGCTACCGAAGCGCCGACTTTTCCCGAGGTCTTACGATTCGACAAACGAACGCCGCCGTCGAAGCCATAGCTCGGGTGCATTCCCTATCGCTCTGCCTCAAAATCAAAGAGGGAAAAGGCATATCGGAACGATACCCATTTCTCTTTCAGGTAATGACCCTATCAGTTTTTAATATGTGCCGGTAGAGAGACAAAGCAATTTTGATGTCATATCCTTGAACCCCATACCATTTTGTCAGTTTAACACTGTGAAGTGAATAACACAATCGATAGACACTTTTCAATGTTAAATTGTCGCCCACATAGTGTTACATTGTCGCCCCACGTTGGGCGCCAATTCAAGACTGTAAAGTGAGAAACATGGTTCCTTTTCTGTTTCAGACCACCAGAGCCTCTGATTCCTATCAACAGCTCGTCGAACGCGGTTTACCGCAACTGTCGCAGTTTCTCGAGCGACGTTCAGGTCTGGACAGCGTGCTGGCCGCTCTGAACGACCTTCGACCTCACACCAAACCCATCATCGAAAACCTTCTGGCACCGCAAGAACCTATGGCACTCATCACTCACACCGACTTTTGGTGAGTACATAGATACATATTTTACAATATGAGAGAATCGGCAAGAGTTTTTACTCTGCAAAAGACCATTTACTTGGAATCCGTTAGATATATCTGTAACGCCAATTGATTTAACAGCTGTCGATGAAAAGTAAACCAATGAGACTTTAGGAGGTTGGAAACACTGAAGAAAAGACCCATGTCCAACAAGAATTTGGACTGCTTCCTCTTTATTCTCATGTTTGGTTTTGTGGCAGGCTTCCATCTTCTTGCCTTATTCTCCACCCAACATAAGTTCAAAAAATCGGAGAATTTCGCAGATTGATGATCTGAGATGACAAAATATGATAATCCAAAGGACTAGGACGTGCCAAGTTCATGAAGACCTTTGTCCAGTTGGTTCAGAGTAATAAATTCTTGGTTTTCACATGTTTTTGCTTAGCTCCCTAACCAATGAACATAATCCCAAACTAGCTCCAGAATGAAGATCTCAACTTGATTTGATCTGAGATGAACTCGAAAAATTCAGATAACTTTATAGCTGAAGACATTTATTTTCTAGGTGCAACAACCTGATGTTCAAAGAGGACGACTCGGAATGCGCATGCGCTATTCTAGACTGGCAAATGGTCACCTACAGTCGTCCTACCAACGATCTGGCCCTGCTGATCAACAGCAGCGTCTCAGCGGAACTGCGCAGGTCCCACACGGACGCCATATTGGACAACTACTGGCAATGTCTAGTCGCTACCTGTCGCAAAATGGCGGTGGACGTGGAAACAGAACTCGGGTAACAAAAACACTATCTTTGTTCATTGTCTCAATGACCTAGCCAATTAGAGGTTGAGTGCTTCTTCATTTCGTTGTCAATATTGAGTTATTTTTTGTTTAGGTATGATAGAAAGAAGCTGTCAGAGGACTTCAGAAGGTCCCAGCTGTTAGCTTTGTTGCTGTGCATAGGCTCTGTGGATTTAGCCATTGGTAATGCTCAAATGGAGGAAAGACTTTTAGAATTGCTGCAAGATTTGCATGCTGACGGTTTGCTGAATGCTGATGTGGGTGATATTGAAGCTCAAATTTGAAGAAGAAAGGGATGTGAAAATATCTGAAGATGATCTCAGAAGAGAAACGAACCTAACCTTATTTTATTGCTTCCAGTGATTTTACACTACATGTAGAATTCGACTAATCAAAAAAATATACTCTGCACAGGATATCATATGATTAGGTATTTATGTGACATTAAGTGGCTGTTTCCTGTCGAATAAGGAAGAATCTTGTACCATTAGACTTACAGAACGAAAGGTAACATCGAAGCTTTATTGATTTGTAAGTCGAATTAACATTGATTGAAGACATAGACAACAAAATTCCAAAGATTTCTTCGAATATTTTCCGCCATGTTCAAATTGCTCATTATTTATTTGTTGAGAAAATATAGATAGGCATGATTGAATATGAGTAGATTCTTCTGAATTGTTTTAACCGTCCAAATTTTGTTGGTTCCAAAGTGTTTCAAACAAAATATTATAAACAGTGCAATGCATAACAAAGCTTCATGTTTTTTGGTTAAAAGTTGATTTACAAAAATTTTTAAAATTACGCTGTATTACCTATCTAGCATAAAAATGTTTCTGTTGCATGCTGAGTTATATTTAGTTGCGACTATATATTATGAATAAAACTTTTAACAAACTATGGAACATTTTAGAATTTTTTCAATAACCCTATAACCGATTTAGCTCCTGAGATGGTGCTCCACTGATGTCCAGCGGGACGAGCCACGGCATTATCGATCCAAGGGTGGAGATGCGCGAGGTGAACTTATACGGGATGAGTCAAAAAACTTCTTCTCCTTAGATTTCTCTCAGAACATCATGAACAATCGAAATTCGATTAAGTAAAAATAATTGAAGGAACACACGAGAGACTGGAAATTGAACGCAGGAGATGTAGATAATTGAAAATCTTTATTCGAGAACTATAAAGTTTTTGCAATGGGAAATTCATTCAGTAACCAAGTTTTTGTTCATTTTCAATATCTATAGTGAGTACTAAGGAGTTTTCTGTAAATAAGAGCGTGATCATTACATCAAGATGTTGCATGGAGTACCAAGGATCTATTCCAGAGCCACCTCAATTTAAGATCAATACAAATAACTTTTTATTCGGAAGTTGACGATTACAACTTAATATCCAGTGTGAACCAGGCAAATATCTCGCTATTCTACCTATTAGGACAGAATGAATTTTACTATGAAAACAGCCTAATCAATTATTTGTTCTATACATAATAATATAGTATATTATGTATCTACTGTGAACTGCAGATTTTGTGAGCCCAATTATTGCGCCAAAAAATCACCAACCTAAATTTCCGAAAATATGTTTACACAAAAAACTGAATTATGTTGTGTCTTTGATCCTTATGACTACGCCAAAATATGGTCACCCATTCAAAATATTGCGAAATACATTGTTTGCACTGAGAATCGTAACGATCTGCGCCATAAAATCACCATTATCCACCTGAACTTTCAGAAATATATGTCAACACAGTAATCTGTACCATTATGTTGAACTGATCCTTATGACTGCGCCAAAACTCCACCCAGATATTGAAAAAGTAATCCATGTAAATATTTCAAAATACATTCTGATAGCTGCAGCAAACTGTGTACCTTACAACTGTGAAACAAATCCAAATCGTTCACCTGAATTTTCGAATATTATACATTTATTCAGTGAACAGTGCCATCGTGTGTACAGGGTGCACCTCTTAAAATTGAACTCCCCTTAACTCTTTTGGTTTCAGATATGAAAGAATGTTGAATGAAAAAGTTTCTTGAAACGACCCCAACTTTCATTTCGTGAAATTGTTCAATATACAGAGTCAGGAAAGTACATGAACCTCATGAACCTTCACTTCATATCATCTTACTCAAGTTAGTGGGCTTTGAAATGATGTTAATATATTATTGAAGCTCCATGGATATGGCATGGTATTGTTCATTATGGAATTGAAATCGTTCAATTTCAATACAAAAAAATATGAATGGATAGTTTGAATGGAAGATGCGGTATTTTGGTAAACTTTGATCATCAATAACTCAATTGATTTCCATAAAAATATGCAACTCATAAATATTTTTGGAATCAGAAAAACAAGCTTTATCGACATCTCAGAAAATATAGAGGGTGTTCCATTGAAAAAATCGAAGTCACTGTCTTTTCCGGAAAAACGAATAACCCTGTATATGAAGCAATTTCACGAAATAAAAGTTTGGGTCGTTTCAAACAACTTTTCAACTCAACGCTTCTTCACATCTCTGAAAACAAAAGAGTTAAGGGGGGTTCCATTTCAAGAGGCGCACCCTGTACCTAGCCCTCTTGGCTGCGCCAAAACTCGGTCACCCATTAAAATAAGTTTACACTGAGTATCGCAACATTCTTTGTACCTTACGAGTGCGCCAAAAAACCTTTCAAATACTTACTATAATGTGCGCATCTCCTCATGACGGCTCCAGAACTTGGTTATTTATTGATATTTCGAAATGAGTTTACATTGTTTACACTAGGGTCCCTTGATGTATTTTGGCGTATTTGTCATCTTAACAGGGTACGGACAGATCCTCGTCTCCTCTCACTCTAAAGTGTTTGTGAAACAGTTATATGGTTCCATCTTTATTCATTTCTAGGGATAAACACTAGATTTCCGACATTTGTTGTTTTTTAGGTTATATTGAGGACATTGGCATATCATACGTAATTTCCACATGAAATTTCTCATTCAACTCTACATATTATATCCAAATGATGATGATACTTTTCGAGTTTTTGATTTTTCAACTCCAGCATAATTTTTATGAGGCAGTGAGCAAATTTTTCTGTTTGATACGTTTTACCAAATGGGACTGTTCTTAGGCAGTACCTATCAATAAATTAATTTTGATTTCAGTCCAAGCCTTATGGTTGAGAAATGGTGAACAATTTTGTGTAGGTATTCAAACTAATGTGCTCATATGTCATGTGTGCTGTACATATTCATGTTGGGAATTATTTTTTGCAGTTTTTCACGAACACTTAATATGCCCTGAATGTAGGTATAATTTTTTAAATGGTAGGGCACATGCCTCTTCTTTTAACCCTCCGTTTTAATCAAAACTGTTTCTACTAAAATGCATCCAAAAACTTGTGGAGTGGATAATTAAAGGCACAATGAGAAAGTATATGTTATTTCGCATTAGTATTACCTCGAATATTTTGCTGATGTATTTACCAATTTTCCCCATTCGGTCACTTCACTTTCCAAGTTCTAAGTTCATTTGCATTTGATGGAAAGCTGACAAATTCAAATTTGCCATCCAACTGATTGATACAGCATAACGCAGCACATTTTACCATCCTTCCAAAACAGAATTGAATAATGTCGTATTAAGATCAAGTATGAGATTGAAATTTTGTAAGATCTCTTTCAACGCCTATGAATGTGACGTGACAGCAATGTCATGTCAGGGACGCCAATACACGAAACCAAAGTCACTAGATGATCAAAAGAGAAAGGAGCTATGATCTGTCCGTACCCTGTTAGATGACAAATACGTCAGTTTGCATCAAGGGGCCCTAGTTTACATTAAGAACCGTAACAATCTGTGTACCTAACGACTGCGCCAGAAAATCGGTATCATCCACCTAAATTTTCAATATTATATGTTTACACAGTAAACTGTATCATTTTGTGAGCTTAGTCTTTATGACGGCGCCAAAACTTGATAATCCATTGATATTTTGAAATAAGTTTACACTAAGAACCGCAATAATGTGTGTAACTTACGACTGCGCCAAATAATTGCAGATAATGATGATCCAAATTTTGCAACAGGTGAAATCCTTACTAAAACATGAAACTATCGAAAGACAATCTACTCACCGATGCTATTACTCCCCCGATGATGGCAGTATTTCGCTTGTGTTTACCGGCAGTCTTATACCTCGCATACAATTTCCTCCCTACCCAAACTGGAATGCCTGCAAAACATACAGATAAGAAATTCCAGGAAAACGTGAAAGTAAACTCAAAAACTCACCAATCACCATTGCGGGAATGGTGATGCTCGCCACCAGGGCGATGCCGACAGGAGCGCCGACCAGAGTGCCCAGCTGCCACAAGATCTTCTTCTTTCTCGACCAGGGTTTCTTGCCCCAGAAGGTGCAACCGGAAGGACTATAACAACATTTCATTTAGTAATAGCAAGTTTATATTGTCATTATTTGTGATGTTTTTACCTGAGGAAGTGAAGATCGTTGATTTCTTTCATGCACAGCCAACAAAATTCGGCGCCGCATACGGCGCACATCATATGGTTACAAGAACCGTCATCCATTTTCACTATGAGCACTTGGCATCGTGGGCAGGGTTTTATGTCATCTCCTGAAACAAATCGAAAATTGATAGTGGTAGATGCTTATTCGAAAAATCGTAGATAGACACATTTTCCACTCTTAAAAAGATTCATTCACTCAGGATAGCTTGTACAAAGAAGACCGTTATTGGAATACAACGACGACCGTCTCGTTCTCGTTCTGATACTATGTGGCTAACGGGCTAATGACTAAGTCCGCTTCAACTGCATGATGATTACGAAACCGATGAATACCTAGCTTGTGATAAGGCATTCTCAGGCGTACCATTCATTTACGGGGTGCTTTGAACTTCGTCGCTAACAATATATTTAGTGGAGATTGTCATTGAGATGATGAAATGATCATGTCATTCCAGAACTATCGAAAGACAATAATAATTATGGTTAATAGAGGAGTAGCAAAAGCGTTTTTTATATTTGTGCCAAAGTATTCGAGGCATGGATAATACCTGATGCCAGAAGTGTAGCTTTGGCCTGACAAAGAAAATTAAATAATTAAAAATAAAAATATTGGAAAATCAACATTTCTATGACATCAGCCAGAAGAAAATGGAAAAAGCGACTTCGGAAATAGCGACTTCATGGATGTTTGAGGATTAATAGGAAAATTTCACTATTTTGCAATTCCTCCGGCAACATGTGTGATACTTGAGAGGCGTGTCAACAGAACATATACAGCAGAAATTGAAACATTATTTGACATAAATCATGGAAATTTCAATTCAAAGCAATTCCAGAAACACACAATTTTTTCGAGTCAAAAATTAAAAATGAGAAATTTAAAAGTCAACATGAAACCAATGAACATGAAAAAAAACGACTTCAGAGGAACACAAAACTTTTTTCCAAAGTCAGAAGATTGCAATTTCTTCGAATCTACCGAAAGAATTTGAAAAAAGCGACTCCAGGGGCGTACCATTTAGTTACCTCCAAGGGGTTCAAATATCAAAATCAAACAATCGGAATTTCGTAGAAATGAAGTGACACAGAATAGTGAAAATCTACTCCACGAGCGTACTTTTTTCTTAAAGGTGTCCCAAGAAAAAACAAAATCCTTGACTCACTCTGCTTAGAATCATGATATAATTTTCTTCCGAGGGCTTGAAAACAATCGGAAATATCGGATTTTGTCTACATCAACCAAATGAAAATGAAAAAAACGACTGCAGGGAAGTCCCAAAATTTACCAAGGGGGTCAAAAATAAAAAATCTAAAATTCTAAAGTTTTGTCATCATCCGAAACGAAATCTGATTTTATCGACATCAAGCGGAAGAAAGTGGACAAAAGCAAAACTAGAGGCGTACCCATTATTTTCCAAAAGGGTCGAGAATAAAAAATCGTGAATTCCGGTTTTCGTCGATACCAAGCGAGAGAAAAAAAACGCGATTCCAGGGACGTACTGATTCTTTTCAAGGGGGTCAGAAATGAAAATCGAAAATTCCTGATTGCGTCGACTTCAAGCGAAAGGAAATGAAAAAAAAATGCGATTCCAGGGGCGTACCAAATTTGTTTCAAGGGTGTCAATAGAGAAAAATCAAAATTTCGCAGTTTCGTCAATATTGTAATGATATTTCCCTTGGAGGCGCTTTAGAAACATCAGCATGATGGCAGGAGTACAACGATCATCCTGTATCACGCATCCCAGATTGCTCTCCAACCTCTCAATGATTCCTACATACACCAACATATTTCCGAACACTCTATATATGCCGCAGTGACAAAGGATGTCACAGAAGATTCTGGAATGTTCTGGAAACAATCGATGGAACAATTAGAGACAGAGGTTTGTTCTAAGAAGCTTCTAGAACAAAAAGAAGGAGCCGGAAGATCATTTCGAGAAGGTTCTCGAACCAAAGCCTGCCTGTGTTCTCATATATAAGACGGCCGAACAACTGAGTCAGTCAGTCAAACAGCGAGTGTCAGAGAGACAGTTATATACCGCGTGTTATGAATCGTTTTACATAAATAGTACTTATAAGTTCGATATAAATTAGTGTTTCTTTAGTTTAAATAAATCAGTTGGAAAATAAATAGTGTCATGTTCGCTTCTGCACCCGAATAACGTAACAATATCAACGGGAACAAAATGGAAAAAAGTTATTTCATGAGCGTACCATTTTTTTTCCGAAGAATCCAAGAACGAAAAAATTGAAATTCCGGATTTCCTCAACTTCGAGCAGAAAATAAAAAAAACGACCCCATCGATGTATCAAATTTTAGACTAAGGGGTCTGAAAATTGAAAAATCTAAAATTCCGAATTTCATGATTAGGCGAATGAAAATTTGCAAAACAAAACGATTCCAGAGGCGCACCTTTTATTTCTTCAAGGGGGTCAAAAATACTTTGAATCAAAAATTCGAAATTTCATCGACAATATGAAAAAAATCGATTCCAGGGGCGTACAATTTTCTTCTAAGGGGGTCGAAAATAAAAATCGAAAATCCCTGATTACTTCGACATCAAGCAGAAGAAAATAAGAAAATGCGATTCCAGGTGTGTAGAAAATTTTTTCCAAGGGTGCCAATGATGAAAAATCAAAATTCCAAAGTTTCTTCAATATCATTGGGAACAAAATGGATATTCCGAGGGATCTAAAAACAAATGAAAATTCCAGATTTCGTTAACTTCAAACGGAAGGAAATAAAAAACGACTCCATAGACGTATCAAATTTTTGCCTAAGGGGTCTGAAAATTGAAAAAATCGAAAATTTCGGATTTCATGATTAGGCGAATGGGAATTTGAAAAAAATACGATTCCAGGGGCGCACCCTTCTTTTTTTTAAGGGGGTCAAAAATGTAAAAAATCATAAATTCGACAAAATGTCGAAATTCACCTGGACAAAATATAGAAATACTATGTTGAGAATCCTGATTCGGATGCCATTCGGCCTTGCAGTGATAGCAGAACGAGTCGCAGCCGGGCCGCTCGCACTTCAGCTTCGGACAGCTGACACACTCGCTCGCTATCACGGCAAACGAGCAATCGACATTTATTGAATGAGAATGAAGAAAAAGAGCGACTCCAGAGGCGAACCAGTCTTTTATTTTCCAAAGGGATCAAAAATACTTAAAATCAAAAATTCAAAATTTCATCGACATTGACTTAACAACAATATGAAAAACAAAAGCGATTCCAGGGGCGTACCAATTTTTTTCCAAGGGGGTCGAAAATAAAAATCGAAAATCCCTGATTTCTTCGACATCAAGCGGACGAAATTAAAAAAATGCGATTCCAGGTGTGTACAAAATTTTTTCTAAGGGTGCCAATACTGCCAATAATGAAAAATCAAAATTCCAAAGTTTCGTCAATATCATTGGAAACAAAATGGATATTCCGAGGGATCCAAAAACAAATGAAAATTCCGGATTTCGTCAACTTCAAGCGGAAGAAAATAAAAAACGACTCCATAGACGTAACAAATTTTTGCCTAAGGGGTCTGAAAATTGAAAAAATCGAAAATTTCGGATTCCATGATTAGGCGAATGGAAATTTGAAAAAAAAACTATTCCAGGGGCGCACCCATTTTTTTTTTCAAGGGGGTCAACAATTTTAAAAATCATAAATTCGAAAAAAAGGCGAAATTCACGTGGAAAAAATATACGAAAACTCACTATGTTGAGAATCCTGACTATAGCTGATCGAAGACGCTCTCACGTGCGGCGATCGAAGCGCCCTCGCCGCGTCGCACGTCTGATTCGGATGCCATTCGGCCTTGCAGTGATAGCAGAAGAACGAGTCGCAGCCGGGCCGCTCGCACTTCAGCTTCGGACAGCTGGCGCACTCGCTCGCTATCACGGCGAACGAGCAGTCCGGCGCCGGACACCATCTGGCGTCGGGGTCTACGGCCAGGACACGACGCACCATGAAGTCCTCGTATTTGGTGAAGAGCGCCGGATTGTTCAGGATCGATCGGATCTCTGGAAGAACGAATATTTACAAAAATTAGTTTCAATGTACAGAAATCTTCACGCATATTTTGTTTTTGAGGAACGGTTCTTCACGATTTTTCCAGTAGATTTTATATACATAGTATGTTGATAAAAAAACTGTTATGGCCAACTTATGGGAAGTACTTTTAACCTAACTTGTCCTAAATTAACCTTTTTCCTAAAAAGTATATTTTTGAAAATTCAATTGAGTGAGAAAAATTTTAAAAATATGACGCCTGGCAAGAATTGAACCCCATCCACTACATTGGAAGTCACCTTAAAGTCTATTTATTTGATCTAAATAAGTTACATCACACATAAATACATTTCACATTTCAGTATGAGGAATATGCAGTTCATATACTGTGTGTATACAGTGTGTCCCACTTACCATGCTCACCATTGGTATCTTTTTAACGGTGAGAGATACGAGGTCGGTTAAATGACACCAAATGTGGAGTTTGTCAAGGCCAACTATAATGTGAAAAAATATTTTGATAAAATCTATTCGTTTTTGTTTTATACGCAAAAAACAGATTTTGATCATTTTCATGTCTCCTCCGTAACTTCTTTATTTATGGAAATATTCAAATTGGAAATTCACATTCTCATGGCAGTTTTTCAAAGTAATTTCGAAAAAAATATGAAATTTATACCAACTCTTCTAGAATTTGAGATATCAGCACCAACTTTAGTTTTTCAAATGTAGGTCATAGCTCACTATGACTTTATTACAAATAACTTTTTTTCTCTTACAGATGATATGTCGCAGTAATAGTTTTGTGTTGATAACAACGGAGTTATCGTCATTTATACAAAAACAAAAAATGATTTGGAAGCCGCCATCTTGAATTTATAAATTTTAACAAAAAAATCATGATCTTCGACCTCAAAAACCCCCACTTACCAATTTAGAATGGAATCGGACCAGATCTTGTCCGCCATCTTGGAGCAGCCATTTTTTTCAATTTCAACAAAAATTCCATAATGTATGTCACCGAAATCATGAACACCTGACAAGTTTCAATTTAAACGGAGTTCCAGTCGTAAGAGGACCCTATCCACGACCTTGGCCTTGACCTTGGACTAAGCTATCGTTTTACTCGTAGTAGTCCTAGTTTCTCAATATAAAGAAGGAAGAAATACCATGTGTTGTGGGTGACGTCACTTGACCTCGATGTTTGAAGATTCGCGGGTCTAGCTAGACGCTTGTCAAAAACATCCATTAGGTGTGTATATAGGGACATACACTGTGTCCATAAAGTCACCCCCCCCTGGTTAACTATTGAACGGATGGGATTTTTTTTTCAATTTTTTTTTGCTCCAATGGTAGTTTCAGTGCTATATATTGTTCCAAAAAAAAAATGTATCCTCCAAAATGGCGCCCAGGCGAGTGGGGGGTCGAAAGATACCTCGATTGAAAGGTCTTTCGATTCTCTATACAACCTCAGAATCTCAGACGAAAATATTCATCCAAAACAAAATGGCGGATGATAACGTTTGAAATCTCACACCAGAATTCTTTCCACTAGATGGCTATTGAAGTGCTCGCATGTGATCTTCAAATCTCTATTGGCGTAAAGAAGAGTTCTCTATCCATGAAGATATCAATAGGAAGCCATTTTGAAGAGAATAACATGGTAGTCAATTATACCTTTGCTCGATTGTCTTTCCAAATTCTGCAAAATTTTAGAAATATTTATTCAAAATAAAGAACTATGTTTATTCCACGTGACTACCATGTTATTCTCTTCAAAATGGCTTTTTATTGATATCTTCATAGATAGAGAACTCTTCTATACGCCAATAAAGATTTGGAGATCACATGCGAGCACTTTAATAGCCATCCAGTAGAAAGAATTCTGGTGTGAGATTTCAAACGTTATCATTCGCCATTTTGTTTTGGATGAATATTTTTGTCTGAGATTCTGAGGTTGTATAGAGAATCAAAAGACCTTTCAATCGAGGTATCTTTCGACCCCCCACTCCATTTAAAAAAATCTTCCAAAATGACGCCCAGGCGCCATATTGGAGGATACATATTTTTTTTTGAAACAATATATAGCACTGAAACTACCATTGAAGCAAAAAAAAATTGAAAAAAAAAATCCCATCCGTTCAATAGTTAACCAGGGGGGGGGGTGACTTTATGGACACAGTGTATATCGACCCATACTTATATGTGAACACACCAAAATCATAAACCACAAAAGTCTACTCACCGTTAGGATGCATGGGTTCGAGACATTCCGGGCAAGAGATACAAATGCGAGATTCGGTGATTTCCACGCGGAGATACTGCTGGAAGCAACAGATGCAAGCCCTGTGCCCGCATCCTTCTAATTCGCAGAAATCTTCCGGCGTTAGTTCGGCGAAACACAGAGGGCACTCCAACGAAGTCGGGGCTGCGTCCCCACTCTGAAAAAAATCACACAAAATTCGTGTGAGTCTCAACTCTTATGGTGGATATTTGTAGCAGTTTCAAGTCGTAAGTATTAAGTCATAAGTATTAGGAAGTTCATTCATTGCTTTTCATAAGTAATATCACGTAGAGTAACTAAATGTATTTGACACTGCTGTTTTGACGTTTTTTGTGTATTAGAGTACGGACACTATGACAAGCACTGACAATCGGACATAACCACAAATAAATTGATAGAAAACGCGGGAACAGACAGTACACGGGCGTACATGACATAAAGGACCCCGCACTTTTTCTATATAAAAATGGCGTTCCGTCGAATTTCCCCAATTTTTGGTAAATGATAGTACTCGACATACTGATTGAATATGCCAAGTCCCAACTCAATCCTATGACTAGTTTACGAGATACAGGGTGTTGAAGTTGAAGAATACCTAATTTTTCTCGGCCTATATCTCTAAGATAGGACAAATGAATTCCAATTTTTCGGGAGCACGTAATAGTTATGCCCTTAGGCGCAAGAACTATATAGGTATTCGACCAAAACTGATTTTTATTACAGGGTGATTCTCATTTCAAATAATGTGTTTTTTTGAATATCTGAATATCAATGCTACAAATTGATAACAATTACAAAATGAGATTTATAGCCAAGTATGCTCTTCTTACATCAATTGAATTCGTAAAATATAATAATTATACATGGTGTTTCATTAATGCTGTTGATTGCATAATTGGTCTATCCTAAAGTTCATTGGGCCACCTCGTATTATCGGGTTGATTCCAGACATTCAAAATATTTTTGAAGGATGTATCCCAATGAGTTCCATGATATACAGAGTGATTCATCGATTGAAAAAATTGACAACCACGAAAAAATATTCAAAAACCACTATTTTTTTCATCACCCTCTAATTCGAAATTATTACCGTCGATGCAAGATTTTTTTCCACCAATATACTCAGTATGGATATTTCAATCAAATTGGGAATTTTCAGACCCATGCTATGACTAGTTTTTTTTATACATCGAATAATGTGAAAATAATTATGGAAAAGTAATTACATAATAACACGAAAAATTGCTCCGAATCGCAAAACTAGTAGTCACTAGTCAACTATGTCAAAAAATGTGATTTGTTCGTAAACAAAATCTAGTGGTCTTATTATAGGTCCGCTAGCAAAACATCTCGAAAATGTTTTTCAGAAAACATCAAACAAATCACAATATGCCCCCGAAAAAATCTCATCAACGACACAACTATTCTACGCACCCCTTTCATCAACTTTCAACTCATCAACGATCCCACTCATAAACGTGCTAAAACTCATGAGCGTTCGAAGTCGACAGCGGTTTTTCCCAACTCAATCCTATGACTACTTTTCGAAAAAAGTATGAAACTAAACTTCCGCAAACGCCTAGTAAGAGGTGCGCGTTAATATATTTTGCAACTCTCCTATATCCAACCAACTTCCAATCTTTTGACCATACTGTATATTGTTAGAATCGAAGTTAGTATATGCACATCGCAAAGACACTAAAGTTGGAGTTTTGGTTATGTAGATATTCGTTACCGGGTTCAGTATAGGCCTGAAAGAAAAATGTCAATTAAGAATTTCAATCACAGATTTTGAAAAAATAGACAAACCAACTCGTTTCCCCACCACCTGAGAGGTAGAGTTTCAGGCGCGTTTTTTTTATTGTGGTATCCCCTGTAGGCCTAGTCCACGTTAGAAAGTGAAAGTTCCAATACCTATAATATGATTGTGTGTAGGCAGGATTGGCGCAGTGGACGAGCACCCGAGTCAGGACTGCGGGGTCGTGGGTTCGATTCCCAGACAGCGCAAGGAATTTTTCGAATATTAATATACGAATTAAATATTGTGAAGTTTCGGAGCATCGGCTGGGGATAGTCCTGCACGATTCACTGTTGCGTGCCTACATACAATATAGATACATGTTCAGAACACTATGGGCTAAAGGACCTCATTAGGGATCGATGGTTGGTTGGTATGTACATACCTACCAACGAAGGACATATACTACTACTACTACTATAATTATGTTTCACAAGGAACACAGAAATCAACTAATCGCCAGATTCAAATCAGTTCCGGACCGATGTTCATATTTTCAGGATTCAATCGATTTGCAGCATCGTCGATACAATTCAAAAGGCGATCAGATGGAAAGGTAATATTTCCTTGGTTTCTTGCGTATCCAAGGAACCATACCACACTGGCTACGTGTGCACACGTCCCTAATGTTCTAGCACCGGACCTACAAGTACAGTAGTACCCTAAAATGGGCGGATCTTGTAAATTATTATCATCGATTTCTCTGAATACTAACCACAGCATATGTTTAGTGGCATTTCTGAACCGAGAAAATACTCGAAATCTTAAAAAATTGGGTTCCTCAATGAGTTCGTCAATATCGAGTGTATTTTGTTCCCCTCCATCTCTTTGTATCGTGTCTTGTATGTAGGAGGCAGCTAAGTGAATGTGATATGACCCTGTGAGTGTTTTCAAATATTCTAAGTCAAGTCGAGGAAACGTCGGTACATGTCTATGGTTCAAACGAAACCATCGACCATTTCTTGTACGGAGGTTTTCAGCCTCAACTCGGGCCTGAACAATGTTGACTTCTTCGATATCATGCAACATTTGTGTAGCTAATTCCAATGTGCCCGGCATCCTTATTGGAGGATGGTATTTGTTTATTAGGGCGCCAGCAATCAAATAGAATTCGCGTAATTTTGCAACATGTGTTATTGATATCGCTCCTCGGAAAAATTTGAAAATCGATTTGAAATGCCCATTTCTAGCCTCTACAATCCATCTGGTGCTAGTAATCAAGCGTGCCCTATTAGTTTCGATTGTTGTGAGTTGTCTTTGGTTTGGTGGTAGAAATGGTGGCATATGGTAATGGAGACCAAGATCCTGTAAAAGACCAATAGAGTCCCTATAACCCCTATCGACTATCACTACATCGCCTTCTTGAAACCATGTCCTCATTCTATTTATATCATTCTGTAGCTCATGCTGCAGAATGGTGGCATCATTATTTCTAGCATCAGAAAAGTATGGACCATTAATTGCCAAGATGTAGCCATCAGGAGCGACCATAATTTCAGGCTTAACCAGGTGCTCATTTTTATGGAAGCAGTAGGATTGTCTCAATATCCGGAAATTACTACTTTTTTCTATTTTGTTATATGTACAGTCTATATACACAATTGCTTTTGGGATATTGGGAGAAGGGTTGTATAGCTGATTGGTGTATACAGACACGTGTCTATTAATATAATCGTCTCTTGTAATAGAGTCGAAACCAATATTATTAGTTACAAATCTTTGCATTAGAGATATCCTCACATTCGATATTATCAAGCTAGTTGTTTGTCTTGAAGAAAAATGAAACAAGATTTTCAAAAACTCATCTGAAACTCCATGTTTCATTTTGATTAGAAATGTCAGTAAATGTTTCTTTTTGATATGCCTTCTATTTCCCCCTTGCTCGATTGTATCACAAAATCCATAAAGTTCTTGAAAATCTTCTTTTGAAATCGACGTCAGAGCTTTGAACTCTTCTTCTGTAAAACTATCAATATCATCCCAGTTTCTAATACGTCTATTTTCATTGGCAACTGTTCTCATACACTGTAGAAATTGAAGCATATTTGATATCAAATAGGGTTTGTTGATAAAATTCAAACCTCCATGCAAATTATTCAAGAGAAATCCATGAGGGTCAAGATGATGACCACAAATTCTCAGAAAGTCCGGAACATAAATATTCGTTACAACAAAAATGTTCACCCTACATGCAAGAGTTATTCTCTGAACATGTTGACGAGCATTACAGATTATGCAGGCACGGCTCATTACTGGACTCAATACATTTAGGCGAAGACAGTTTGGGTTATTTTCCATCTCATTGATATCAATTATTACACTGTTATGACAATTGAAACAAACTCTGGTATCATCAAAAATGTCAATTGGAGGATTTCCAGCAGCTCGTCTTCTAAATGTTGCAATTTGCAGAAAATCAACATTATCTTCACGATTTATACGAATTGTGAGTCTAGGAATGAAATTCCCTTCGCATACATAACATCTTACCCTATTTGCAAATGCCATAATGCGCACTAAATTCACTAAACAATTACTGAAAACGACTTAAAAAACACTCAGAATAAAGATATACGCTGATATGATATTTTAAGATACTGACAACCCGAAAGTTGCTGGATGACAGACACATTTATTGATATCATGATTTTGTTTTCTAAGCCTACTGAAAAATATTCTATCTGGTTGCGATAATCCAAATTCGACTTCTACGAAGTAAAACATACTTATTAATTCGTGACAACCCAAGTTTCTAGACTAATTCGACCCCGCCGATTCCGAAAATATCAGTTGTCAACTTGAATTGGGACTAGAACTTACCCTAAAATATAATTTTATAGTTATTTGAGGATGTCTATCGATCTATTACGGTATGTATATCTTACGATATACATTACCTAATGCCACTATTTCTTCCAACAAATAGATGTTGTTGGAAAACGAGTTGGTTCATGTATTTTTTCAAAATCTATGATTGCAATTCTGAATTGATATTGAGTGGAAGAAAGAGGCTTCGAGATTGTTTCATTATTATTTTACTATATTTTTGATGTGTTGGATAAATGATGATTCCTCGGTACCTACTGATGTTCCTGTATTCCATTTTTCTTTCAAGTCTATACTGAACCCGGTAACGAATATCTACATAACCAAAACTCCAACTTTAGTGTCTTTCCGATGTGCATATACTAACTTCGATTCTAACAATATACAGTATGATCAAAAGATTGGAAGTTGGTTGGATAAAGGAGAGTTGCAAAATATATTAACGCGCACCTCTCACTAGGCGTTTGCGGAAGTTTAGTTTCATATTTTTTTCGAAAAGTATAGTCATAGGATTGAGTTGGGAAAAACCGCTGTCGACTTGGAACGCTCATGAGTTTTAGCACGTTTATATGAGTGGGATCGTTGATGAGTTGTGTCGTTGATGAGATTTTTTCGGGGGCATATTGTGATTTGTTTGATGTTTTCTGAAAAACATTTTCGAGATGTTTTGCTAGCGGACCTATAATAAGACCACTAGATTTTGTTTACGAACAAATCACATTTTTTGACATAGTTGACTAGTGACTACTAGTTTTGCGATTCGGAGCAATTTTTCGTGTTATTATGTAATTACTTTTCCATAATTATTTTCACATTATTCGATGTATAAAAAAAACTAGTCATAGCATGGGTCTGAAAATTCCCAATTTGATTGAAATATCCATACTGAGTATATTGGTGGAAAAAAATCTTACATCGACGGTAATAATTTCGAATTAGAGGGTGATGAAAAAAATAGTGGTTTTTGAATATTTTTTCGTGGTTGTCAATTTTTTCAATCGATGAATCACTCTGTATATCATGGAACTCATTGGGATACATCCTTCAAAAATATTTTGAATGTCTGGAATCAACCCGATAATACGAGGTGGCCCAATGAACTTTAGGATAGACCAATTATGCAATCAACAGCATTAATGAAACACCATGTATAATTATTATATTTTACGAATTCAATTGATGTAAGAAGAGCATACTTGGCTATAAATCTCATTTTGTAATTGTTATCAATTTGTAGCATTGATATTCAGATATTCAAAAAAACACATTATTTGAAATGAGAATCACCCTGTAATAAAAATCAGTTTTGGTCGAATACCTATATAGTTCTTGCGCCTAAGGGCATAACTATTACGTGCTCCCGAAAAATTGGAATTCATTTGTCCTATCTTAGAGATATAGGCCGAGAAAAATTAGGTATTCTTCAACTTCAACACCCTGTATCTCGTAAACTAGTCATAGGATTGAGTTGGGACTTGGCATATTCAATCAGTATGTCGAGTACTATCATTTACCAAAAATTGGGGAAATTCGACGGAACGCCATTTTTATATAGAAAAAGTGCGGGGTCCTTTCAAAGGTTTGACAAATTGAGAGAATCAGGAGGAAGATGCAAGTTTGTGCAGTATCCAACTATGAGAACACGGGAAATCGATTTACTCTATTCGAATTTTCATCGGATAACGTAATTCTACAAAAATGGAGACAGAATATGATGCGGCCAGCATGGAATATAGGTTTTGGCTTTGGCCACAAAATTTGAGAGGTATTCAAATTTCTTGGTTGGATATAGAACACTGTTCAACGCATTTTCATCAGGTACAGTTGAGAACGGAAGATTTGATGCTGAAGAATAGAATCGTATTGAGAGAAAGAGCCGAACCCACAATGTATAAACTGAGCGATTATCGAGAAGAACCTTATTCCAACAAGAAACGAAAAACTTGCAGATTCGAATTTTTAAAGCAGGAATATTAAAAATCCAAGGTTTACGCGTGAAAGAGAGTGAGGAATTCAGGAAACAAATAGAAGAAAAAAATAGCAATGTGAACGGCGGTCTATAGTGAGTCGAGGCGCTTTGACCTTCGACTTGAAAATGTTAATTCTGAATCACCCTGTACCTATTTTATTCAAATATCAATTGATAGTGAATAAAAAGTTGAGATAGGGGCATGGAAACCGCTTTGACCAATAATAAATAGTTTCGACACAAAAAAATCTTAAAGTTGAAAAATCGCGATTTTTCACACCCTATATCTCTGTAATTGTCACTGCTAGACCCCAATTGTTATAGGTCAATGAAATCAGTTCTTCAGGGAGAATTTGAAAATGGAATAATATACAGGGTGTCCCATTTAACAAATCATAGTTGTTGCTACTTTTCAATATAAGCGGCAACGTCGCACAACTAATTATCCAAGGCACCAAATTTTCAGAATAATCCCAAGTTACGTTCTCCAGAAACGTCTAATGTGCCTTCCACCGTGAATCAGCCTGTATATAGACTATACTTGACATTTTTCTTACCTTCGTGCTTGTGGTGTAAACAGAAGTTCGACTAGTAGCTTGATGAATTTGTACATGATGTCTTTCATTCTCCTTGGAACTAGTTCCTACTTTTCCATCTGGAACATCTCTACCTGAAAAATCATCAGCATTTTTCAATTGATACAAAAATTACTATTGTGATATTATCCATGTATAAAAATAAACGGTGTTTATCTACGGCTAGGAGAAAAATTGTGACTCTCGCTAAATAGTTGATAGATAATCGATATCACAACAGACGTATCTATTTTTTCCAGAGGGAGATTTTTTTTTTCGATTTTGGAAATGTTTCTACATTCTCCGAAAAAAAAAAGGGGAGGAACTCGGGGAGGAAGCAGTGGAGGGATTTCTATTGAGACAATCATAACATCTCGAATAGTCCTGTTTCAGTAAAATAAAATATTTCATTAGTACTAACGCTAACTAAACTCGTCAACATTGATAACGTCGTGGTCCAAAATATAGCCTGGAATGAAAGTAGAATAACTCACGAATTCCCATACCAATTTGAAAGGACCCCGCACCGCATCAATGGGAAATTGGCTTTCGGTGAATTTACTCGAATTATTGATATATTGTAGAACTCGTGGTGCTGATCAAATGTCTCCATTGCACCAACGCTCTAAAATCAACAGTTACGATTATATAGGGTGATGAAGTTGACTTTTGAAGAATTTTAGATAGACATTGTGAAGACACCTTTCATAATTTCGAAACCAAATCAACTGTGCATTGATTTTTCGAATGACCGATACGAATCTACTATAAGGTATAATGATTCCTGCACGTACCAACTATATACAGGGTTGGTCGGAACATAGCGAATAATTCAGTGATTTTCTGAAAAGTGTGCGGTGGAATTTAATTTGAATTCTGTTGTATACAAATATCATCCCCATTTCGTGATATAAGCATCTCCTAATCAGATATATAATATACAAGATGTTTTATTTTTGATAAATTCACATCCATGTTAGGTACTTATTATTGGCATCCTCAATATGACTCACAACTTGAACAACCTATGATGAATGTCCACTCTGCAGATCCGTGAAATATACGGAGTGGATGAAAAATCAATGGTCTCTGCTAATAACTTCTCAAGATTAGTATGTGCAGATTCTTGTGACCCATTTTATTGACCCTGTTTCATAACGACATTATAATCAATAAAACTAATTTGAACCATTCGATGCAGTATATTTTTAATAACATGTTAGATCCATAAATTCGAGATGTGGAAGTCCCCTTTGGTCTCGCCTTTCAATAGCGATTTCTCGCTTCATTTCATTTGGTTCTCCCTCAAGTCGTACCATATTTTGTATATTGAATGCTGAATGACACGTAAAACAATTCAATCGGCGACGATTAGCCATTTTTCAAATAATTATTACTTTGACTTCTATAAGAACTTGACAGATGCAATAGTTGCGAATGACAATGTTAAACAGATGAATATAGTTGCTATGTGCCTGCCATATTACATTATTTGAACCAGAGCAATCTTAACATGATCAAGATGAACATGGAGTCCATCATGAGAAGAGATCACCGTAATTGAATGAAATCAAAGATTCATTCGGCATTTGTAAGAATTTATCATTCGTCCTCACTCAATATTCTATTATTTTATATAACCATGATTTCATGATGATATGTGTGTATGTTTCCAACTGATTTATATATTCATTTGTTAAATACTGTCTGTAGGTTAATTAAGTGAAATATTCATCATTATACTGGTGAATTTTTGTTTTACGCTATTTGATAGTGACATCTTTGGGTCAGATCATCTGATCTGTCCTTACTACACGTATATTGAAATGATACTCATATTTTTATTTTATAGAAACGAGGTGAGAAAATCCCAAAAAATCTGGAATACTTGATTTATATATTAATGTTTATTGAAACTAATATAGCTGCTTCTATCTTTATTGAGTACGTTATAAACGCGGCTATAATGTCAGGAGTACTTTTCAAATATAATAACTATGCCATCGTGTTTATTTTCATACTACCTTATAAACCAACCAGATAGTATTGTTTGTTACATTAGGTATGTATTTTAGATAGTTGGGTTCATCTTTATATGTATTTTTGTATGTATGTCTGTTTGACTCAAGAGACGCCAATGTATAATTAGCCAATTTGATGTTAGAAAAGGCTATCCAGAGTCAATTTAGTATAAGCCACGATATAGAAGCAGAAAACCTATCTGGTGAAATTGGCAGGATCTCATATGAAAGATGTATATGATATCACGATAAAAATCAATTTCAATTCAAATACGAACGCTCATGGATTTTTACGAATGAGAATTCACTCAAGCTTCCGTAATTCCAAGCAATAACAATAAATTGTGGATCGCATTCAATGCCGGAAGACATTGATGATTGTTTCACTATCACCTGAAAAACCTATGATACCTGCATATTATCAAAAATATACTACATCGAATGGTTCAAATTATTTTCATTGAATATAATGTCGTTATAAAACAGGGTCAATAAAATGGGCCAAAAGAATCTGCACATACTACTCTTGAGAAATTATTAGAAGACCATTGATTTTTCGTCCACTCCGTATATTTCAAGTATTTGCAGGGTGAACATTCATCATGGAATGAACGAGATTCCCAATAGGTTGTTCAAGTTGTAAGTCATAATGAGGATGCCAATAATAGTTACCTAACATGGATGTGACTTTATCAAAAATAAAACATCTTGTATATAATATGTCTGATTAGGAGATGCTAATATCACGAAATGGGGATGATATTTGTATTCTACAGAATTCAAATGAGATTCCACCGCACACTTTTCCGAAAATCACTGAATTATTCGCCATGTTCCGACCAACCCTGTATATTGTTGGCACGTGCAGGAATCATTATACTTTATAGTAGATTCGTATCGGTCATTTGAACAATGAAAGCACAGTTGATTTGGTTTCGAAATTATGAAAGGTGTCTTCACAATTACTATCTAAAATTCTGGAAAAGTCAACTTTATCACCCTATATAATCGTAACTGTTGATTTTAGAGCGTTGGTGCAATGGAGACATTTGATCAGCACCACGAGTTCTAAAATATATCAAAAATTCGAGTAAATTCACCGAAAGCCAATTTCCCATTGATGCGGTGCGGGGTCCTTTCATCGATGATTAGCCTAATCTCTTGATAGTTTGTGGCAATATGAAACTTCTGTAATTTCAAATAACATTGCAACGGGGCGATAATTGAATGGGTGTAAGATTGTATCGTGGTCGTCACCTTACCGTTTGAACAGATAATTTTTTCATTTTTTTTCTCACCTGTATCCTCTTGATTGATGCTTCCTCTCGAAACGTTTTCGGAATTTTCAAATTCAGAGCTTTGATAATCGTGTTATGAATATTCATTCAGAATGATGCATTTTTTCGATGATTAATTGAATGAAATTGGAAGTTGGAATTCTTTTTCGAAGAATCAACTTTGTATGTATGTCGTCGGATATGTGATCGTGTTCGAACACAGAAAATTCTGAAGTAGTCTATACAAAGTGATACAAGAAATATTGAATGATGGAATGGAGGATCACGTAGTCTCCAGTAGATGAAACATAATTTTCTCTGTGTTACTAGTGAAATAATGGAGTCTTACTTTGTCATGAGGATGTATGGTGTCTGACCTTGAAATGATTTTGTATTTTCTCGGATCGAAGGTCATATAATGAAGGTACGCATTTTTTATCAAAATGATTCATTTTCGTTGATAAATTATGAAATTCAAAAAATTACGATAGTAGTTCCAGAAGTATGAAATTTATATTTATTCTTGACGATGGATACACAAGGTGCGATGAAAAATATGTCCAGATTGTCCCGGGATGGAGAAGAGTATGTTTGAACGTGATGAAAATCGCTATGTTCCGAAAAAGAAATATAGTGTCGGTCATTGTCAAAAATTATGAAATGTATAAATACAGTAACTTTTCATGAGGCTTATACGAGGAAATATGGAAGAGGCTGCAGAATTTCCATAGATTCGATAACATTCATACAAATGAAGATAAATACAGTGAGTCCCCACGATGCTATTACAAGGTGAGGTAATATGAAAGAGACTATGTTTCGCTATATCACCTGATATCACCTATACCACCTGGTGAAGCTACTGTGTTAGCGAAACATGTCGTGTGTTTGAGAATTTTGTGGAAATCTTATCGTTTGTGAAGTATTTACATACCGGGTGTCAACGAATCTATCAGACAAGTCATAACTTCTAGACCATTAGGTGTATCAAAATGAGATTTGGTATGGTATGTGAAGAGGAGAGTTTTCACATATTTTTCACTCTCCGGTCACTTCCGGTTTCACCGAAAATGGCTCCGGCTCTAAATGTTTAAATGGAATGTATATTGTAACATTTTTGGATTTCTGAGACACTTCTAGATCAGAATATGACATTTTCGAAAGTTTTTATGCCTACTTAATTAACATGCAATGAGAGAGGGCTGGTATCGTTGGAAACAGAATAATTAGACCAATATTATTTCAACGTCAGTTAACAGGGGTTAGGTACATAGGTTTCCTTCAAAACGAAATCGAGGATCATCTCAATAATATACCTTTAGCAGTTTTAAAGCGAATTTACTTCCAACAAGATGGAGCACCTCCTCATAATACCAGATACGTTCTTGATTACTTAATAGAGCATTTCAATAATCAAGTTATTGCAACCAATGGACCAGTACGGTGGCCTGCCCGCTCACCGGATCTGATTGTGATAGATCTCTTCATTTGGGGATATGTTAAAGAAAGGGTCTATTATGCAACAGCCCCAGCCACTCTCGAAATCTAAGGAGAAAGAATTCTACAGGCATTCAGAAGTATAACGCCACAAATGTTACGAAACGTGTTGAGAGAAACAATTGAACGAGCTGAAATGTGTCTTGAACAAGGAGGAATGCACTTTGAAAATTTACTATAGTGAAAATTTCAAGAAATTAGGAAATTGAAAAAAATTTAAGTGCATCGCTGAAGTTATTGTTAATTTTGTTAAATCTGTTGATCCAATCGCAAATAAATTAGTATTATTAGATTCGTCAAAATATCCTTTTTTCGGAAAGTGCTTGTGGAAAAATGGTCGACATTCGAAAACTAATAGTTAGACACAAAAATGTAATTTTGCTATCTTGTCTTATTCATATCTATCATACTTGTCACTAAAACTTCGCGATTGTAATTTTCTGATATCACCTGAGGTCCTTAGATTCCGATCATGGCCACCTAGATGTAATTTCAAAAGTGACTCCGAAAAAATTAAGTAGGCATAAAAACTTTCGAAAATGTCACATTCTGATCTAGAATTGTCTCAGAAATCCAAAAATGTTACAATATACAGGGTGTTCCATTTAAAAATCTAGAACCGGAGCCATTTCCGGTGAAAGCGGAAGTGACCGGAAAGTGAAAAATATTTGAAAACTCTCCTCTTCACATACCATTTACCAATACCAAATCTCATTTCGATACACCTAATGGTCTAGAAGTTATGACTTGTCTAATAGATTCGTTGACAACCGGTAGCGATTTTACTAAATATACTGCACGCTAGCACAAACCACGCCCACCATAATACGTCATATCCCCAAACATTACCGATATACTCGGAGTCAGCACATCGCACTAAATATACTGTGCTCCAACGCAAGAATCCACTTTTTAGGATTTTCACACGAATTCGACTGAAGCTCTCTCGTTGTCAATCTCTTGTATGCAGTCAATTTATATACCCAAACCTCGACCCAAACGGTCTACTGGTTAGCGCTGTCGACTCTCAGTCTGAAGGTCCATGGTTCGAATCGCTGTGAACTTGAACTTTTTTTGCAACTTTTTTTTCACCAATGTTTTTTTACTTCATTCTGGTTTTCCTTCTTCAGAAAATATTTGAAGTCAAATAGGTTAGTGCGTTTAGGATAAACAGTCTCATTTTATTCAATTTTGTTGAAGAACTTAACTTTTGAAATATATTATTAATCAATGTGTTTTTACACTCCATTCTGGTTTTCCTTCCTCAAAAATATTGCAATCAGGAATAGGTTAGTTCGTTAAGGATAAATAGTTTTGCCCATGGACGTATAAACAAAAGTAAAGTACTTTGAAGATGAGATATAACGGTGGGCGTGGTATGTGTTAGCGTACAGTATATTTAGTAAAATCGCGCCCCTGACACTCTGTGCTATTCGAGAAACCGGCAGTCTCATCCCTTCCAGGTGTTTATATTGAGTTCATTGGCAAGAAGGCGTATGAAGTCATCCAGACCAGGCTTCTTTCGAAGGGAAGGTGCCGATTTTCAATTAATGACAAAAACTATTTTCGGTGATTTCTAATAACGAATGACAGCATCAAGTACTGTTTATACATGGATCATCAGCCTACCTTCTCTCTTGTGAGATTTCGATGGTTCCGAGGCGTTCTGGCCGCGCCTCCTGTTCAATATCGGACTAGAATAGATGAGGTGTCTCAGAGACCAGCGGCCGGGGAACCTCTTCTTGCGTTGGCCGGCAACGCAAGGGGTGACATCGTTGTCGAGGGAGCCTAGCATGGTCGATGACGGATCACTGTTGCGTCCACGTGCCCATCTTTCGATGCGAGAATGTCGGAGGATAGAATGAGTTGAGAGCCTGCAACGGAAGCACGATATGGAATGGACGAGTATAGCAATTCATTGTCAACCTTGTAAGAACATCTACCACTGAAAACAGATTATTATATTATTTTATATTATATGCTGATGATGTATCTCCAATAATATCAGACAAAAGTGATGACAATATTAATGCCGAGAGTAGTGTAGCACTAGATTCTCTCAGTAGGTACCTGGTTTTTTTCCAATAATCTTCACCTCAATCCAACTAAAACTAACTTGGTGAGATTTCATACATGACAAAAAGTGCAGGACCTATAAATCTGGTCGGTGATAATGCAAATCTTGAACAAAAGAAAACTGTCACATTTTTAGGTGTCTCTAAAGATGAATGTCTCAACTGAAGATCTCAATGCTCGAATCTTGTCTCAAAATTGTCTTCTCTTACATTCCTATTGAGAAATATAAGATTCTTATTGAATAAACAACAACTTTTGAACTTTTACTTTGCTCAAGTAGACTCTCGACTGAGATATGCAGTTTGTTTGTGGGGTAATTCAGTAGCAGTGACCGACGTGTTGGTAGCACGAAAAAGGATATTACGATGTATGTTTAACACGTTCGCTGCTGCGCAATAAACAGGGATACGCGCTCAGGGCTAACATGCATTTTGATTCAATTTTTCTGAATTATATGCACATAATATCTTCTGATGACCAAAAAAGTATGTTCTCTGGAAATTAGGTCCAAAAAGGCCGTGACGGTAAAACACAAGTCTACTCTGCATACAAGCTGAACGAAGACTGGGAGCTTTGGGTCGTGGTGTAGGCATGACGGTAAAAACCGTCATGCGCACATGGCAACAGAAGGACATGACGGTAAAAACCGTCATGCGCAGCGAACGTGTTAATATGCCCAGGAGAACTTCTTGTAGACCGATTTTCAAGGAATGCAAAATTCTAACTATCACTGGTATTTATATATTTGAAATGCGTATGTTTGTTTTTAGGAATAGGGAGAAGCTTAATTTAATTAGTGACCTTCATAATTATCATACTAGGCAGAAAAATAATTATTATGACCCTTTGCAAAACTCAAAATCAGAGAGAATGCACCAAATTTTTTAGCACCAAAGCTTTTCAATAGACTACCCAATAATTTGAAGAATATCGTGAAGATTAACTGTTTCAAAAGCTAACTCAATGAATTCTTGACATCATCATGTTACTACTCCCTTAAAGATTATTTAACTTAAGGATGCAATAATATTTTACTGTTTTGTTCTCTTGATTATTCCTATATGGTTTTTGTAACTATCAAAAGGAAAGTAAAGTTCATTATCTTCATTATTATTATTATTTTCATAAAATATTGATAACATTTTTGTCTTTATCGCTTATTGTATCATCCAGGAAGTCCCCGGCGTCCGAATATCTGGAAATTATGAAAACCTTGATTTCAAGCGATTTTGGGGTTATTTCAGTTATCATATTGGCTGCTTGTAAGATGAATGACACATTTTTGTTTTGTTCTGTGACATCTGCGACCGTTTTCAAGGTTAATTCAGAACAATAGTATATTATGTAACAAGTGTTATAAAAGTCCTTTTAGTAACGAGTATTTTAAACACGAGCGGAGCAGACCGGAGCGAGTGTTTAATGAACGAGTGTCTAGAAGAGTTTATAAACGCGTTACATACTATGCTTTTTCTACGAACTCCGAAAATTACATCAACATACCTGCTATTCCTGCTAACCTACAAAATAATTCGAAAGGAATGGGAATTGAGAACATAATACATGCAACCAGCGAGACACGTATAAGTGGTATTGGTTGTAGATGTGTCCACTCCATTGCTTACTAACCTTCGTTTCACGTTTGTTGTCATGCTTAGCGCAGAATAAATAAATTGTTTTCAAAGATGGATGCTTCATTTTTACACTTCTTACCAGAACATTCTCTTCGATTTCACTTTCTTCTACATTTCGTATATATTTTCAATGAAGAATTCTGATACAAACAATAGTTATTTGTTTAACTAGGCAGCAAAGTAGTAGATTGACTGCCGAGGCTGAATTCATAGCCGAGCGTAGCGAGGCTAGGAATCCAGCTAAGGCAGTCAATCTACCTTGCTGCCGAGTTGAACATATGATTTTTTCTCCGATTATAATGATATAGGACGATATTGTAATTGCAAATTATTACAATTCCCACAATCTCTTTATTTTTCCTGTAGTGTTCAATTAAAATGAAATTTGATAGAAATTGCAGTTGTCCATGATAATTATAGTTTGACAATTCTTGAAAATTCTGACAGTTGTGCGAAAAAATATCGGTATATTTAAATTATTATACAATGGACAGTGCTAGCGACCTGAAAGTACTTACACCTCCAGAAATAAAGGGAGGTGGCAAAAAATATTGAGCTGAATTTGTTCCCGGAGAAGTCTCGAATGAAATATGAAGGAAATTATCAACGACTTATGGATTATTAATTTTGCTGATACATATCAATCAGCAAAGTAACCACTTTGCTGCCTAGGCAGCAAAGTACTCACTTTGCTGCCTAGGCAGGAAAAGTAATACTTTGCTGATTGATATGTGTCAGCAAAATTAATATTTGCTGCCAATCAGAGAAAAACGAATATATTGTATTAGGTTTTTGACGTCACATCATCGCCTCGTTTTCAGAGGTCCGAAAAATCGGGGATTTCAATAATTTTTTATAAAACGTAGGGAGCTCACAGCAAGAAACGGTTTGGGTGAGTTCTATCGAATTATGAAATAAAAATATTTTGTTATATAAGCCCATTATATGATACCTGTCATGTGCCAGAGAAATCACACTTATTAATTTCCGTCTACATGCTCATGTGGATGAAAAATTTTTAAAAAGTACCAATGTCGAAATAAAGCATCTGATTGTTTGAAAATGACTGGTATGAAATTTACATGCAGAATCTAAAAGCTGAATTTTTCATCAACAAGATCCATTTCTCAATAAATAGCAAAGTTTTTCAGTTGAGTACAGTGTTGAAAAAATGCTGAGGGAACAAATAAATAAAAAAATACAAGTTTTGAGCAATGGATCTTGGAAAAAAAAATGCAGCATTCAGATTGAAAAACAGTTTTTGTACTTACTTGTTTTTATGAGCACTTTATAACGAAGATGACACCGATTAAATAAATAATAAAATATTGTTTGCATTTATTTGTTCGTTTATGGAAAAACCCCATTAAAATAATTAATAAATATACAAGGTACATGTTGATCATCAACTGCTTCATGATTCTAAAAATTACAAGGTAGAGACATACACGTAAATTATAATTTTTCGTAGACTTCATCATCGATAAAAATGAATTTATTTTTTCTGTGACGGGAAGAAAGTTTGAAATTTTATCTTTGTTGGCAGGTTATAAAATGTCACTTTTCATAAATTACTTTCTTCCCACGGAAAAAAAAGGTCTTTTTTCTCGGATATATATATATATCACATAAATATACACTGTTGATGGCTTTTGTTATGCTTTAGTTACGAAAAATACACCTATGCAAGTCCTTTATCTCCCATTGGACTTAGATTAGATTGACAGATATTTGATTACGTCAAAAGAATTACAAAGAAGCCTGTAATGCAGGTGTCATTCCTGTTTCAATATAATGTATTGCTTCATATAAATATATGTACAGTGTGTGACCCACTTCTAATGGAACCACCCCTGTATCTTAGGTATTGAGGTAGGGTTCTGAAATTTGCCGGAGGAAGAGAAAGTCCAAAGATAAAGTCAATTACGTGAGATACGGGGGTGCTTCCATAAAAAATGCGACAAAATTTCATTTTTCCGAACTGAAAATTTTACAGGAAAAATTTGAGTAGTTAGTAAATTGGACGTCCTGATTCCAAATCTGAAGTGATATTCGACCTATTTTGACTCCTAATATCATTTTCCGGAAATTGGGGTAGTTTCATGGCTGTTGGCGAGCAGTGTATATCACTGAAGATGACCCCACTTGGTCATAGAGTGCATTTTTGGTATGTCTCTCGCTCCAGCAAATTTCAGGATCCTTACCCAACGATTACGTAAGATACAGGGGTGGTTCCATTAGAAGTGGGTCACACTGTATATCCATTTTTGTATGTTCATAATATATCTGAGAATATTCCTTTTCAACACTTTCATACCCAATCAGGAAGTTCAAACTTTAACGATGGAAACTTGTGATTTTTACAGACCTCTAATCGCAGATTCGTGATAGAGTCTCAATTCAGAATTTCTTTCCACGCCCTGTATGATGAATGTCAATTTATCATACACCCAAAAGCAATAATATGATATATTCTCAATAGTGATTCGTGCTTTTTCCTATCACAGAGAAAAATAGTGTATTATACACGGGAAAAATATTACATTTTAGCTCACGGTTTTTAGTCTCAAACATTTGTGATTTACTAAAACCGCTGGAGTATATGAAAATGTTAATTCTTTCAATCAGAACCGATGCAATTCTAGATCATTGATTTCTAAAAAAAATTAGCTCTTACATCTGAATCGAAGAAATAGTCCAGGAGATACACGTTCTTTTTGGCAATGTGTTATAGACTGAATGTGCCAATCTCGTAATAAGAATTAATTTAATTTTGCTTCTGGCTATATCAGAATTCAGTCGGATTTGGATTTCTCAAAGCCATTCTGAAGCTGAAAAGCTGTAGTACACAATGAAACATCCGAAAATTCCATATTTGAAAAAAAAATTGTGGAATAACCCAAACTTTTGTGATTTACAAAAAAATGCTGGCGAATAGCAAAATGCTAATTTGAGATCATTGATTTTTATAGAGAATGAGCACTTGAACATCAGAAGCGAACAAATAGTCCAGGATATGTACGCACTTTTTAGCAATGTTATGGAGTGAATGTGCTGAAAAAGGAATTCGGAAAATTATATTTTCATCAGATAATACACCATTTTGATTTTTTCAATTATGGAATTTTCAAATGTTCCACTGTGTAATACAGCTTTTTATCTTTGAA